GCCCAGCCGTACGTCACTCTCCCGAGACGGCGCCTGCGCGGGTCACCATGCTGTCAGCGGGCCGACGCGGTCGGGCCTTGCTACAGCTGCGGCGTCTCCGGAGGCGGTCGGGGATCGCGACCTGTCCATTCCTGCCTGGCCTTGGGCAAGAGCCCTTCGAGAGATCCCGGTCACTGTGTTCTGAGCCCTCGCAAAGAGACGTGCGAGATGGAGAAAGAGAGCGTAAGGCGGCACAGAAGAAAGTCCCAGGAGCAGAGGTGCCTCCATCTCTCCCTCTGCGCGGCCGCGGCATTGGGACCAGATGTCTTTCGTCACTGGAAAGCCTCAGACTGTCGACGTCTGGAGAGAAGTCACCCCCTCGAGAGCGCGAGGACTCGAGTGGAGACCAAGGCCAGTCTGATCCTGCATACCGAGGACCCGGGGGTCCCTCACTGCCCGCCCTGGCCCAGTCCGTGACCGAGGTCGAAGAACTTCACGTCTCCTCTGCCTGGTCAACTTCCAGAGAAGAGCCCTTTCGGGCCGGCGAGCTAATTTTAGCTGAGCTTGGGAAGAGAGAAACACAATTTAAAAAATTATTTAGATTGAGCAACGCCGGACACTTAAACAGTAACTGGGGGACAGTCCCATTCAGCGATATCGTGGGGAAGTTCCCTGGCCAGATACTGAGGAGTTCCTCTGGTAAGGACTTCATGCTGAAGAGGCCGTCATTGGAAGACTATGTATTACTGATGAAAAGGGGGCCTGCCATAACATATCCAAAGGTAATGCCATGGTAGTTAGGTATGTATTGGTTTCAGAAAGAGCAAAACTGATGAGGTGCTACAGACCTGATTCACGTACTTAAAGCACATCTCAGAACGTTTCAAGTTTTGTTCTCAGCCTTTTTTTTTTTTAACTTATTGATATGACTTTTACATATCTTAAGGTCGCTAATTTTAGGAGGAAACAGCCAGATTTTAATTTTAATTTGAGAGTCTCGAGTCTGATTTGTGAAGAGAATATCTATTTACTATGTAAAATGATGTGGGTTCACTTGGCATATAATAAGTACTTATATTTGTTTCTTAACTCTTAAGTTTGCAAGTTCAGCACGCAAGAGACTGTTGAACTCTTCAGGGGACAATTCTTTAGTATCATTAATGTGATATTTTAATCATATTTAATTTAATAAGGCATGTTACTAGAAGTATATGTTAACAATAGATATATTACTATGCTTACCCTTTAGAAAAAAGTTTTGTATTAAAACAACTATAATTAAACACTAAAAATAAAAGTAATATTCTTTATAAATAAACTTCCTAGTTCATTTAGATTCTTATACTAATTGTCTATTGCTAGTGGTTTATTTCAATCTCTACAGTCATAGCCCTTGAGTAGAATGTTCCTTTGTAATTGCAACAACTCCTCGTATTCTGAGATGAGGAATCATTCATTATTTATTCAGCAAATAATCGCCTGCCTTCTCTATTCAGGGCACTATTTTAGGGAGGTTATGGTGGTGAACCACAGTCCTTGCTCTCAACATAGACCTTACTCCTAAAGGCGGTGACATAGAACACACAAGTGAAAGAATAAAATATTTTCAGGTAGTGCTAAGTACCATGAAGACATAGGTTAACAGTGACATTGTGTTGGGTGACCTGGGGAAAGAGAATTCTTTGTGTCAGGTGGTTAGAGAAGGTCTTCAGCAAGGTACATTTGATAAGAAACCTGATTAAGGAAGAGCCAGCCATGCAGAGATCTCAGAGCAGAGCGCTTTCACAAAGGGAAGAATTCCTGTTGTGGCCCAAGTGGGTTAGTGAGGGGAGAGAGTAGTACAATGTGTATTTGGAGAGAGAAGAGTATTTTATTCTATGTGCTTTGGGCGACCATTGGAAGGTTGTAAGTAGGAATCTATATTTTAAAAGATAGACCCAGGTTTTTAAAATAAAACCTTCCTGGAAGCTTTAGGCTAGTGGGGTATCGGAATTGAAAACCTATTTGAAGAAATAATGATGGAAAACTTTCCAAACCTGGTGAAAGATAGACATACAAGCCCAGGAAGCACAGAGAGTCCCAAATAAGATCAACCCAAAAAGGCCCACACCAAGATAACCTACAGCACCTGATATTCCTAGGTGGTCTCCCATCCAAGTACTAACCAGGCCCAACCCTGCTTAGCTTCCGAAATCAGACGAGATCGGGCATGTTCAGGGTGGCATGGCCGTAGTACTCTTTCCTCATTTGACTGTTTCAACCTAGCCATAAAAATGACTTCTGTAATTTCATTTTGTTTCCCCACATCTTCTTTCTCATCACTAGACGAAACAGTGAGAGATTAGCTGTATTTTTTGAAGTTATAAAGATAAATCTTTATAACTTTCTGCCTTTCCATTTGTCACAGTGTTTCATTCTAAAGAGGAATTGAAATACTGGAATGATAGTTGTTGACTTCTCTTTTAATCTCCCAAGTGGACTGCAGAAAATTCGACTTCAGCCTTTACAACTTTGAAATGCTTTTTAAGGGAGTACCTCAACTGACTTTTGAAAGCCGGTCTCCCCATTAGAATTACATAATTTTATGTTAATATTCAGAGTAAGTCTATGGGAACAACTTTAAATATACTAAAAGATACTTGTGAAACATCAGCATTTCACATTTGTCAATATCAGGCATGTTTAGGTTTAGAGTCGAGTATAAATGGCAACATTCCCGCAATTTTTAAATTAATCTTTTCTGCAGATTTGCATGATTATAACACTTATATAAGAACTATTGGGGAGTAGACATTGTTGCTGCTTGATGAAGGCTAAAGTGCAACCCAATTATTAAAACCTTAGGCTGAGGATTAGATTTATGTTATTGAATACTGGGAAAGAGATGGAATTCCTGTAGAGAAAAAAAATGTAACTTTGAAACCGAAAGAGTTGTTTGAAAGCCTGAAGTTTAAAAATGTGCAGAAAATTCAATAGTAGAGTGATATTTCATTACTTTGGAGGAATCTCCCAGTAGCTTCAAAATCCCTTTTGGAAAGAGGCAGAGAAATGAATAAATGCTACCCACCAAAGTTTGGACTGAAATTGTCAGGCTGTATATGGTCGAAGCTAACCTACTCGTCCCCTTGAGACCATGTAACCATAATGGAAAGAAGGAAAAGCTAAAGTGTTCTCAGGTTTCTTTATTTTATAATACTAGGTTTCTGTATCTTATATAAAAACCATAATGGAAAGAAGGAAAAGCTAAAGTGTTCTCAGGTTTCTTTATTTTATAATACTAGGTTTCTGTATCTTATATAAAAGATCCAGGAAAAGACAACTGCCTTCTCCAGGGCATTCCATTGAAATGACTCCCCAAGCTACTTCCCACTCCTGTGTGACCTTATCTGTGCCCCCTCCGACCTCTTCCCCATGTGCCTGACACATAGGAGAGGATATGTATCTCTGAAAGACTCAGAATTCAGGAATGAAGCTTTTTGACTAATACATCTTAAAAATTATGTGTCTGTATCCTTTGGTCGAAGCCTTAGTCTAACATTTCAGAAAATACATTTTGGCTTTTAATTAGACAATTGTACCTGTTAAGTATTTTCTTATACAACCAAACCTATATTTTAATACACAGTTTCGTTGTGATTTGACAGAAGAATCCTATAGAAACCCTACTTTTTCTTTTAGAATTTTCACAGCAGCTTTTACCAGAGAAGGAAAAGATTGTAAAGACTTATTAGATATGCTGCTTACTAGCAACTTTGAAAGGTTTGGTATTGGGGAAATGTTGAAGTCAATGCTAACATTTATATATATAGCATTTGGGTGTAGGGTAGTGATCAACAGCAAGGTCTTTGGGAGTTCATCATCGGTTCTGTTCTTACTTGCCCACTAAATTCCTGGCTGTGCAACTTTGGGCAAATTACTTAACCTCTTTGATTTTTCATCTTTGTAATGGGCATGATGATACTATTCTCATATTATTATTCTGATCAAACAAGATAATGTATGAAAGCAGTTTACATAGTTACGGAAGCCTGGCACATGGTAAAATTTTGATAAATAGCTCTTATTACCCATGATATTCCTGTTAACAAAACCATTCTTCAGTTATAGCATTTGGCAAGTAGGTCCTCCTGTCTTCCTGGTATCCTTTAATTCTAAATAACTTTATAATTTCATGCAGAGATTTTATAATAACTTCTTAACTGATCTTCCTGACTCTTAATTTTTCTCCATTCTACTATATTCCGTATTCCCCTTTCAGATTAATCTTCATAAAATGCCTTTTGTATTACCTCAGTGACATGTCCCAGTTATTTATTAGGTAAAGTTCAAATGCTTTAGCCTGGCATTCAGGTCTCTCTTTATCCCTCCTCCTGAGATGGGCAAACTCTATTTCTGTTTTCTATCTTTTGATTGTATACTTAAATTTTTCACTCTGTCTTTAAGCTAGGGCAATCTGCTGATTTCTCCTTTCTCCGAGTGCCTATTATATTTATTGTCTATAATTTCAATATTATGCTGAAGTGCTTTATTTGCAAATCGATTCTTGTATCTCTCATTTCATCAAATAAAATATAAACTCTTGCTAGGTAGGGCCAGAGTTTAGTCCTTTTTTCACTTCTTTCTTCAAGTCCGACATAGTGTTTGATGAGAGAAGGTACTTGCTTAGTACATATTTACTTTACTAGTCATGAGTCACTAATACTGTGTTTCAATCATAGGATATGAATATGTTGCTGACGATGATGAATATCTACCCAGGTGATACTGTTTTGGAAGTTGGCTCTGGCTCTGGTGGAATGAGCTTATTTTTATCCAGAGCAGGTAAGAGATTGGAATAAAAGCGCTGAATTTAGATGACAAAGAAAACAATCTGTTCATGATAACACAAAGTTAAATAGATAAAGACATTTTTTTATATATTCATTTAACTTTGGGATATAGAGAATTCTCTTTGGAACCAAATGTAATCAGCTATTTTTGGTCATTTTGTACATTTATTCCAGTCCTTCTCTTTTTAGTGTTCTCTGTTTTCTTTGCTTTCTCTAGTTCCTTCCATGCTTTTTAATGTTTTTACCTTTTTTTTAAACTAACTTTTTATCGGCACATAACAGTTACAGAAAAGTGCACAGATCATAAGTATGTATCTCAATGATATTTTTATATAGTGACCACCCTCATTTAGTTATTAGCTGGACCAAGATAGGGAATGTTATTGCACCACAGAAAGCTTCCTGCCCCCTCTCCGTCCTTATCTTCCCCAAAGGTAACCACTGTTGTGACTTTTATTAGTTTTGCCTGTTTTACACCTCATAAAAGGAATCAAACCATATGCACACTTTTGAGTTTGGCTACTTTCATTCAACACTCTGTGAGATTCAGCCAATTGCATGTATCAGTAGTTCTTTCATTCTAATTGCTATACAGTTACTCCATTTTTATAAATCACAATTTGTCCATTCGAGTTGAATATTATAAGTAGTGCTGCTCTGAACATTCTTATACTTTTGGTGCACAAATGTACATGTTTTCGTTAATAATAGTGACGGATGAATCCTCAGTATGAGAGATTATAGAAGAAAGAGGGCTGTCAGTTGCTGGAGAAGAGTCATAAAGTATTTGAGGCAAAGAATTATAGTTGGTGTTCATAAATAAATTATTCATAATTCAGAGCTCCATTAAAGCTAGATCATGAAGAATTTTTCTTCCTTTAAGAAAATCTATATGAATTGCCAATTGGTAAAAGTCTTGCTTGAAGGGAGTACCTGATCAAAAATCAGGAGGTATATAGTAAACGTAAGTATCTGTTCATGTTCCCAGAACTTGAGTTCTGGTTACTATTGTTCTAGTTGATTGTTCCCTTTGTCCATCTTATTCCTATGAGTGTCAGGGTTCCTCTCTCCGGTCTGGCCACCTGTGCAGTGTCCCCTTCCTCACCAAAAAATAGACTGCTGAACAGTGACAGCACTCTCTTTGGGGAGATATTTTTTAAATTATTCATGTTGTTCTTTATTAACACATTCTTTTTCTTAGCTAATAAACTTTGTTAGAGCAGTTGCATGTATATATGGGTAGATTCTATAAAGATAACAAATAGAAATATGCTGAATTAAACTTAAACTTTTTGTTCTTTGACCTAATGTCACCATATACAAAGTAAATTTATAAAAATTTATGAGAGAGGAGGCATGCCCATATTTATAGTATTGGAGGAGTATCATGGCATGAATAATCGCAAACTATGAGTGATCAAAAAATTATTGCTGTTTACCTTCGGGATGGATTTTGTTCGTCCATAATTTTATTTTCCAATTGTTTATCTTATGCTACTATTAACATTACTTTTTATCCCTTGAGAATATGCTGACTTGCAGCTGGACTTATATTACAAAAGACATCTTAGAATTTAAACTTTTCCAATTGATCTAGGACAGCCTCCAAATGGTATCAAATCACCTCAGGTAGAGGTAGATGGAAAATTAATTGCATTGTTAAAATGCAGTAGTCTTATGTGAAACTACAGTATTACTATACTAAACAATTTGAAAGTTCTTCAGGCACACACAAAAATACAAATATTTTTTAAATGTACAAACGGCCTAACCTCATTCATAACGAAAGAAACGCAAATTAAAACTACAGTGATAAGCTATATTCAATTTTTTATTGACACATGAAAAGTTTGATAACTCTTTGTTGGAGACAGTATGGAGAAATAGGCACTCTGACACATTATTGGTAGAGTGTAAATTAATATATCTTTTTTGGAGAACAATTTGGTAATTTTCAAAATAAAAAATTCACATACTCCTTGAGCCAGCAATTCTATTTTCGGTACTTTATTCTATAGGTATGTAACAAAGACTTAAGCACAATAATTGTCACTGTAATACTGTTTATAATAGCATAAGACCAGAAATAAGCTAAATGTTCATTGGTAGATGGCTGCTTAAATAAACTATGGCTTAGCCATACAGTGGAATATTATGGCTGTTAAAAAGAATATAATAGATTGTTAATCAGTAAAATGGCACTCGTAAGTGAAAAGGAAGGTATATGATCAATACATCAAAATATGTGTTAAAAACAGAGAGAAAGAGATATATGCACACATATAGGTACCAACTGTCTTGGGAATAGTATGTAACTACTCACGGTTACCTCTGAAGAGAGAGACTGATTAGGGATCTGAGATGGGATAGAGACTTTTGTAACCTTAAACTATTTGAATTATTTTTTCACATCCATATAATACCTTTCACAATAAAATTTTTACTTTATTTTATCAACTGATTAATACTATGAAATGTCATAAATTGTTTTTTAAAATTAAGTTGGATCACAAGGACGAGTCATAAGTTTTGAAATACGAAAAGACCACCATGAACTGGCTAAGAAGAATTACAAACACTGGTGCGATTCATGGAAAATAAGTCATGTAGAAGAGTGGCCAGACAATGTGGATTTTATTCATAAGGACATTTCAGGAGCAATTGAAGACATAAAATCTTTAACATTTGATGCGGTGAGTTTTCTAAAGTGTGTCATATGATATTACCTAATACTGAATACAAAGGAAACAAGGATCACACTTCTGTATAGGAAAGGGTCTTTCCTCATTATTTGCCCCATTTCTATCTCAGGAGTGGAAGGGATATTTTCCTTCAATATCATGGAGGGATTTAGAGCAGAGAGACTTACTGAATCAGATGCCATAGTTGTTAATAATAAGTATGGGGTATTGACCAAGGAGTAGTTGAGCATCATGAACCTCAGCATTCTTAGCCTAAATACATGATAATTTGGAAGCAGCATTGGGAGCATATTAAGCCCAGCACCTGATCTCATGTTGTAAGATTTGAGGGAATAAATAGCCTCCCTTTAAGAGGGAACAGGCAAGAGGCATCTTTACACAGTTAAAGTCAGGATTCAGAGGAAGGTTCATTTAATGATTTGAGCATAGAAGCTTTATCATGAACAAAGGCCTAGAAAGTGGAGTGGAGGGACTTGTAAGGAAGAGGAGCAGTGGGAGGTTGAGCTGGGGGAGAAGAAGCAGAGTAGTATGAAGATTAAAGGATAAATGACCAGAGGCTATTTTAAGCTATAACTAGTGATGGTGATGTGGTATTAGTTGGCTTCAGAGTTTTAGAATTGTAGTATAAATTGCCTTATCCTTGATGATGCCATTATCAGTTCATAGCTTGACAATAAGGAATCTTCTTCATTTTTCTTAATTGGCTATTAAAAGGTTGGATTATTTCAGAACCTTTATAAAGGAAACTAGGTGAGAAATGAAGTCAAGTTTAAAGAAGGGAGTAATGATTTTTATTAAGACTGGTTCTTTATCTAAAGCCTATAGTTTTAGTGGCATAGCTTCCTGGACACAAAGACTACAGTTCTTTTTCCTCATCCTTGTTTGGCTTGTGTATCATAGTTCAATAAGGGGGGAAAATATTGCTCCACATTGGCCATCCATAGGAATGTCACAGTTACCTGGGAGGTTAATTGGTCATCAGAATTTTGTTTGATGAGCATGAAATACAACAAAGGATTTTAATAATATCGTTGAAGCTTTCTAGAAATCTGCTGATTTTTTTTAAAGGAAAGAATCTTCCTTACTAGAGTTATTCAGTTGAATCTCTCTTGAATAATGGTGCCAGATGAATACTCAGTATGAGAGAACATGAAAGGAGGAGAGTTGTCAGCTGCTGGGAGAAGTTATATACTATAAGAGGGAAAGAATTATAGTTAATGTTTATAAATAATCATAATACAGAACTATTAAGTTAAAGCTAAATCATGAAGAATTTCCCTTTCTTTAAGAAAGCCTCTACAAATTGTCAGTTGAGAAAAGTACTGCTTGATGGTAGCACTTGACCAAAAATCAAGAGGTGTATTTAAACATAAGTTTCTGTCCATGTTCCCACCACTTGATTTGTGGTTACTATGATCCTAATTAATATTGCTCCCTTTGACTGGCTGCCATCTCACCTCGTAGGCCATCACACTTGCAATCCATTCTCATCTTAGGATAATCTAGTTATGATACTATCACTCTCCAGCTGAAAAATTGATTAGGAACTTTTCATTCAAAGACTTATGGAGTCCTTCAGAATCTGACCTCAACCTTCCTTTCTTCTCTAGCCCTTTAAATAACCTGCCTATACTCCTGCCATCCCAAATGAGGGTAAATGAATAAAAGCATTAACTCACAAAGACAGAACAGAAAAAGAGAAAATGGCTAATAAAAGATTTTTAACAAATTTTAATATATTTTGGAAACAACCTGACCATCAGAAAAGGAATAGATACAATGGAATATTAACAATAGTATTATTTAACATAGTGAAATAAATGTACTGTATCTACATCAATAAATCTCAGAGACATGGTGCTTAAATGAAGAAAGCATAATAAAAATACGTGGAATGGCCACATATATGTAAAATTTTAAATTACACAAAACAGCATGTATTATAGCTATATACATATGTTGTAAAAGTATAAAATTATTTGGGAACATTACCAACTTCAGGACACTGATTATCTCTGAGGAGAGAAAAGGAGGGAGGGAACAGAGGGAAGTAAGTTTTGGAGTCCATTCAGCCTGGTTCACTCTTGGGCTCCATAATAGCCAATATGACTTTGGATAAGTTACTTAATCTTTCTGCACTTCAGTCACCTTATGTCTTAAACAGGAATAATAATATGAATAATAATAATAGTACCTATTTTATAGAGTTGCTGAAGATCGAGATAATTCATGTAAAGTACATAGAACAGTCCCTAGTATATAGTAATCATTAAATATTTTTTTAATTTTTTAAATTTTTTAAAGTAATCATTAAATATTAGCTGTGATTTGCATCACTATTATTTCTCATTTTTTTCTGTTTTCCATCTGTTTAAATTCTACTTTTTCTTTAAAGCTTAAATCAAAGGTTGTCTCCTCCATGAAATGGACCTTAATCATCTAACTGGAGGATTATCATCCTCCTTGGAATTGCCGAACCATTTTGTTTATTGATTCAGCAAGCATTTATTAAAGACCTGTTATGTGCCATGCACTATGCTAAGACAAAAATGAATTATACATTTAAAGGAGCTTTAAATCTAGAAGAAAAGATAGACATACAATTATTAGAAAGACTCAGAAGCATGGAACACCATGGCTATAGAATTGGGTATAATGAGATGAAGCTACAAATGGAATCATGAGAGGCTAAATAATGAAGAACAACACATTTATGTATATCAAGCTAGAGTATATGGATATTTTATCTTGTAGATAATGGGAACTACTCATGAGTTTTTAGGGGATTAGGATATCCAGATTTATGATGTAGAATGCTTCTGGTGGAAGAATGGAGGCTGTGCATCTATGTAGAAAGCTATTGTACTATTTCAGCAAGGTATGGCGAGATCCTGAACTAAAGTATTAGCAGTAGGATGATTCAGAGAAATACTTGAGGTAGGTATTTCTTCTGTTTGAATTAAAATTATCCAGTCCCACTACCTCAAGTACTTTCGAAGCATAAAACCCCAAAGATTCTCTAAAGAGAATTCAAGGTGAAGAAAATGACTCCAAGTTTCTGGTTTGAGTGACCAGATGAATGGTTAATGTTGCTGAGAACAGATCATTCAAGAGGACTGGCAGGTTTCTTGGTTATCTGATTTTTGGTCCTTGTCAATAAAATAGTAAAACTAAAGTAAAAAAGAATTATGTCTACCATGTTGATCCTTTGATTCAGTCCTTGAGATCTTTACTTGACTAGGCGACTTAAAGTCATGTCTAAACCTGAATTCTTATTTCTTCCTATAGTCTTCATCGCTTTTCTCATTAGTAAATAACATCTCCATTCTTTCAATGGTTTAGCCTAAAAACATTGAATTCATTCGGACTCCTCTCTTTCTCTCACATCTTGTAGCCAATCCTAATTCCAATTGGCTCTACCTTTTTAAAATTTATACCACTTCTCAATATATCCAATGCTGTTTGCTGTTGCAGGTCATCATAATCCTTCCTTGCCCTCGCTCTGTCTTTTCTACATATAGGTGTAAAAAAATAAGTTAGACTGTACTTAATGCCACTAAATTACATACTTAAAATGGCAAATTTGTTTCATTTACCACAAAAAAAAGGTTTTAAAAAAGTCAGATTTTATCATTCTTTAAAATTCTTCAGTGGCTTTTTCTCTTCTTGAGTAAAGCTAAAGCCTGTAGGATTCTACATAATTGTCTCTCCCTCATGCCCACCACATCCCCACCAACTCAGAACTCATCTTTTACCATTTTCCCCCCTTTTGTCTCCACTGCAGTGACAGTGGCCTTCTCAGACTCACCAAGTATCCTACAGCTTCAGAGCATTTGAATTTGCTGTTCTCTCCGTCTGGAACCCACTTTCCCCCTAAATTTCCAAGGGGTAAGCGTAATCATTTTCTTTAGGTCTCTTCAGTGACTATTTACAAAATACCACTCACTTCTTTTCCCTGCCCTTTCACTCTCTCTCATATTCATATTCTGCTTTATAATTCTGTAGTTCTTTATGTTATTCATCACCCTCTGACTTACATATTTATTGGATATTTGTTTAATGTCTGTTCCTTTATTAGAATATAAGTTCCCATGAAACAAAATAGTATGTGAGTTCCTATTACATCCTTATCACTTAGCACAATGCTTGGCACATGGAAGGTGCTCAAATTAATAATGAATGATGTTCCTTGACACAATATTGTTTTTTAAAAAACACATAAACAATAGAATAACTTCTAATTTAGTAAATATATTAATGTGCCAGCTGTCTGGAATTACTTTCAATAATAGTCACTTTATTTTCTATTTTGACCATATTTTTGTTTTTAATTATTTTTTTGGAAAATTTTATTTACTCATTATAGTCATTTGACACCTTTTGTGAGTACAGCCCTATATTCCGCAATTGAATTAAGAATAAAGAAATAAAGGACATGATTCTTACATTTTAGAATTTCTAAAATATTCAGAACTTTTGAACATAAAAATACATATTCGAGATAAGCCAAAAGCTGAACTAAAGCATTGAAATTGTGTATATATGTAGGTATTTGTATGTATATAAATATAGCTAAAGAAAGATTCCTGTATTATCAGTATTGCCTAGTACAAGACATGTCATGATTTTTACGTTGTCAAGTACTGTGACAAATTGCATAATAATAAATGTATCTTTTTAGGAACAATAAAATGACCGTAGTACTATACTCTAAAAAAAAATACTAGGTAATTGCTTTCTAAAACTATATCATTTTACCACATAAGCAAAGAAAATCTATGCTTTCCTTAAACAAAACTCAATCTGATTCTCTTTTCTTTCTCCCACAGGTAGCTTTGGATATGTTGAATCCTCAAGTTGCTTTGCCTGTTTTATACTCAAATCTTAAACAAGGTGGTATATGCGCTGTATATCTAGCAAAGTGAGTGATGTGGCTATTGTTTGTAATGTGATTTTAAACACACTTTTATTTTGTCTTAAGTACTAGGCTAAAATGTTCATTTTGTAACTGAGTTAGATTTATACATTATCCCATAAAATTTGTGAAATGACAAATGTCCCAAGTTCAGTTATATTGCTGTTTAAATCATCCTTTACATAAATGGCAATATAAAATGCATATTTCTTTGAGCAATTTGGAAGAAAAGTTTTAAAAGTGTAACATGAACAATGTTAAATTATGATCTCTTTATTTTTTTCTTAGTATTATGTGCAATTGCTTATTATGTGCCCTAACTAGCATTTTTACTTTTCTCCTCTTCATTTAACTATAGCATTTAAATTTGGGTAAGAGGTATAGTGAACTTAAAATAAATATAAAGTTGTTACACTAGAAATTTAAAGTACATTTTTTATTTTTTTGAAAGCATCACACAGGTTATTGAACTTTTAGATGGAATTCGCGTCTGTGAACTTGCTCTCTCATGTGAAAAGATAAGTGAAGTCATTGTCAGAGATTGGTTGGTTTGCCTTGCAAAACAGAAAAATGGAACTCTAGCTCAAAAAGTAGAACCTAAAATCAACACAGATTTACAATTACATTCTCAAAAGGAGATTAGAATTGAAGGTGAGATGTTTCAAGAGGATGACCATGGTGAGCTTCAATTTTATTTTATTTTATACATATGTTTGTAATAATAAATGGAGAATAGGTTCCTGAGCGTGTTGACCAATAAATTCTAAAAATATTTCAGGGATTTATTTTTAATATCTAAATTGAAATCTGATATTTATTCAGTTAAATTAAAATCTCTAAGGGTTAAAGTAATGACTGTTCCTGCCTTTTATGTAAAGTTCTGATACCTTTGAAGAACTGCACTTCTTATAATCATATTCTATTTGTGACAAGGGGTTGGCTTGTGAAATATTTTATATATATACTAAAGAATTTTTAAAATTTATATCAGTGATTATTATTGAAGAGAAAGAATAGGGCCTGCTGTGCAAATAGCATAATATTTGCTATTTATGCTACTGGAATTCTTCAAAAATTTAAATTTAGGTCCTTGTTGTATAAACACGTTATTTATGCCATGAACAAGTTTTCAAATGTTCTTTGATTTATAATATGGGCTTATCTATTTGGTTATAAGACCATATATAAATTTATCATGTAATCCTTGGAAATTGTTTCTGTAAGATAACTGGCAGAATAGCTCCAAAACAAATGCTAAAAGAAAACAAAACAAAACAAAAACAGAAAAAACTTACAGTAAAGGGACAGTAATTTGTATTCTAACAGTTTTATGAACAAATTATGAAATATTTTGTGTAGCTTATACTATATATTTTGTTCTACAACAGAAGAATCACATTCTCATTTTCCATATGGATCATTTCCCTATATTGCCAGACCTATACACTGGCAAACTGGTCATACAGGTGAGTAATATTTTCAGGACATATTAAGTGGTATTTTCTTCAAATTATTGTAATAACCTCACTTTTTTCTCCCCTTAAATTAGCTTTTCTTGTCAAGTTGAGGAAGTTCAAACCACAACTTAACTGAGTACCTCAGATGACAGCAACTGATTGGAAGACAGAAAAGTATCAAAATAGAACTTTATATTACAGATCATTACTTCCATAGATTGGTATTTTAGCTATTTCTATGATTTGTATAACTTTTACATATAATTTTGAAAAATAACAAAATCTAAAGGAAGATGTATAACATTTCAAAACTGCTTAAATGTCCCATTTTGACACTTGTCTTGCAGTTAGTTTGACATATTGTAGTTAATGATTCCAAGTTGATTTAGTTGAGCCATCTCATTCTTCACTTCCTGTAAACCACTCCATAGATTTGTCTTTCTTCATGAAATTAGTTTTCTTTTCTTTCTTTGATTGATGGTCATTGGCTATCGAAATAAAATGTGCATTTTTAAGATAAGTTTTATGTATCGGTGTATTTTAAATACATATTTTAATGGTTGTATGTATCTTAAAAAAATAGCAAATCTGAATTATAGTAAACAATAGGGGGAAGACTGATAAGTATATCATCACCTTAAAAATTGTTATAAAGGATGTAACAATTCTTGCATCTCTTTTATCCTCAGCTTGAAAGAACATCAGAATTGTTCTGTTATTACATAAATCAAATGCTTGGAGAAATATACTTTATAAATATGAATTAATTAGGACTAAGGCTTATTATCCATAGGCACCAGTTATTTTGCATTTGCCATGTGCCTGACATTGTTTTGAGAATTTTATATTTTTTCACGTAGTATGTATAACTCATCTTTAAAGTTATCTATATTTTATAGATAAGAAAAGGCTTAGAGTGGCTAGGTTGTTGTTTAAACATAGATGTTTTATAGATTTTAAATGCCTACAACACCTGGTATTCCACGGTGGTCTCCCATCCAAGGACTAACCAGGCCCGACTCTGCTTAGCTTCCAGATCAGATGAGATCGGGCACGTTCAGGGTGGCATGGCCGTAGTATAGGTTTTAAAGTAGTGGTGCCTAGGAGGATTAATGCTATTCCTGGATTTTCCCTTAGTCTAGAACTACTTAAAGTGACATATACATTCTAAATAACAGTTTACACATTTTTTATTATGTGGAAATTTTTAACCGAAAACCTTTGCCTTTATAGACTTTACAGTCTATGATAGAGCTAGACATTAAATAATCACACAAATATGAAACTAAAACTGTTATAAATGCTCCAAAGAAGTACAGGGTACTATAATAGAGGTTTTGCTCCGATCAAGTTATTACCTGTGCAGTGACAAGTGAACTGAGATCTGAATGGTAAATAAGAGTTAACTACAGTAGGGAAAATGAGAACAAAAAAGGCCAGTGATGGTAGAGTTGAGTGAGAGACTGGAAAGATAGGTAGGGGTCAAGCCATAGGATCCTGTAGACCTTTAAGAAAAATGGGGTGCCACTGAAGGATTTATTGAAGGGGTAACATACTTAGATCTGTGTTTTGAAAAAAACATCACTCTGGTTGCATTTAAAGAATTGATTGAATCATAAATAGAGTGTTCTGGTGTCATATTTCAGTATGTTAAGTATCTGAACACTCATAAAATAATAATGGCTCTATAGTTTCCATAACATTTCCAGATATATAGAAGCTCTGAAGTACATTCTTAACTTATGTCATAGAATACTGTCTTTTCTTCTGCCCTTCTATTTAACTAGCAATGAGTTCTGTTCTTCATTTATTGTTTTGAATGCAGGCCTTGATTGTAGTATTTGGAGAAGTGGCTGACTTAAGAGCAAAGAAAAGTTGTGCCTTCTATTTCAGTAGAATAGTTTCTGTTCAGTATACTGTGCTTAGTAGATGTTGAATTGAACAAGACCTAACATTGTCCATTCTAATTTTGAGTTGAAAACCAAACCACATAACTATTTATATAGTTAATGAAAGTCCAGCTTAAGCCCTTTCTCTATCTCTCCATCAAACACTATGGCTTATGGGATGGATGCTTTCTTCTAAAGTTAGCTTTCTATGTTCATGTCTAGTTCTCATTTACCATAGCAAAACTCCTAGAGATTTGTGAATGACTCACAACTGTCTTTCCAGTACCTTCCAGAGGCCTTGCCTTTTCCACCCAGTAAGTGGTCAATAAGTTTGCCGATGGCTTTAAACCAAGGTCATTTCTGTTTCTTCTGTTGCCTTGGTTGTTCTAGAGGGAAACTTAGGTATATAGCTCTTAGATTGTGGAAGACTTTAAGTTTGAACTTTATACTTCAGAGGCAATAGGGAATTTCTGAAGCTTCCATGGTTGTGTAAAAGGAGAGATTTTTAAAAAGTTAGTGGTATTTGAGTATTTAAAAGAAAGAAAATACTATTAATTCAGAAATTTCATAATAACACATAGTATACATGAAGTGGTTGGTAGCAATATACAACTATGAGATGAGGAAAAGGGGCAGATATAAAAAAATATATACTATGAAGGAAGAACCTGATAAGCTGGTAATTTGTTGGAAGTAGTGGGAAAGAAGCTATATATTTTCAAACTTTTATCTACTATTCAGAAGCCCTTTCCCAAACTTCTCTGGGCAAAACAGGATTCGGTCAATGGCCAGCTCATATACTTCCTCTGAAAAGCCTTCACCAAGTCTCTTACCTCATGGAATTAATTCAGGAATCTTTCGTGTTCCTAAATATTGATCAAATAATTAGCATTGCCTTTATCACATCATTAATTTATAAGCCCTGATTATGCCTTATTAAGTGTAAGAATTTAAAATCTGGGTGACTAGAACAATGATAATGACAAAAAGTTCAGAGGAGGATTTGTTTTTGAGGAAAAATTATTTGGTTTTAGATTACATAACAATGTCCTATGCCTGTCCCCAAGACCCAGGACTAAGATTTAGTATATTGCTTTTTACCCTTGGCTTCACTCTAAAATCTGAGGAGTTCTCAGATAATACATAATAATACAGATCCTTGTTTCAGGTGGACTAGCCTAGGTGTCATAGGCTTAAGATAGCATAAGAGAAACAAATGTATAGTTGACTCTCAAAAAATGTGGAGGTTAGTGGCGCTGACCCCCACTGCAGTCGAAAATTCATTATAACTTTTGATTCCCCAAAAACTTAACTATAGTTGGCCGTTTGTATCTGCAGGTTTTACATCCATGATTCAACCATGGATTGAAAACAGTATTTTCGATCCGAGATTGGGAATCGGTGAATGCGGAGGGCCAGCTGTATTAATGGTCTACTGTTGACTGGAAGCCTTTCCAATAACATAAACAGTCAATTAACACATATTTTGTATTTTATATGTATTATATAGTCTTCTTAAGCTAGAGAAAATATTATTAAGAAAATCATAAGAAAAATACTTACTGTATTTATTGGGGGTGGAAATCCACATATTAGTGGACCCATGCAGTTCAAACCCTTGTTGTTCAAGGGTCAACTAGTTCAGTTAGTATAAAAATATGCAGTGTATTCAGGTAGAACTGGGTTCCCATCATGCTGTTTTGCTCTTGTTTTACCTTGCAACTGTGACTTTTCTGAGTGTGTTTCTTCAGTAAAACAAGTGTCATAATGCCACTTTAAGATTTGTTGGTGGGGGGGAGGTCTGATGTTAAATGAGACTACCTTTATAAAATGCCTAGCACATGATCAGTGACTGGATATATGTAAATTTGTAAAGAATGCTTCATCTATCCCCCCCAACCTTGTCAAACTGAAAAATATTTTGTTCTTAATAATTGTCATAAACAAGTTAATATAAAACTTATTTTTTAACGTTTTGTTTTGAGAAAAGAATTTTAAAGGTAGAAAAATGTGTTTTTACCTAAAAAGTAAGAAGTTGCTTGCTTATATTTGAAAGAAAGAAGGAAGCATTGATAACTATCTATTGCTCAGTTTTATCATAAAAGCCTGGAGCAGAATACAATTTCTTTTTCTCTCCTGGAGAATGCTGACTTGAGTTTTCTGCAACCACAAACCGTTAAGTGATTCCAACCACCCTCTGTGATGGGAGGAAGAACAATTTGCTAGCAGAAGTCACTACTAGGAATCATCAGCTGCTGAGGCAGTGAAAGACTTGACCACTGCTCCCGATAACATTGTGTTACCCTTAAACCGCCTTTCCCTCTTCCCCGAAACTGCTCACTCCCTTGTTAAGCCTATTGAGGGAAAATGAATGTAAAAGTTTACTGGCCAAGTGTATGTATGATCAGTAATTTTCTTTGTATTGCCTACCCTCTGTCATCGAAACAAAAGGTCTTATTTAACCTTGAGTTAATACTCTGAATAAAACAGTTAACAAGTAAATACTTGTTCCTTCCTGTATACGACTTGATATTCCAAAACCAGGGCTTTAGGACTTTCATCCAGGGACAGGATGAAAGCAGTTCCATTTACAACTCCCCTAAATCAAGTGCCGCACTTTTCATCCACAATCCCTCAAAGACCTTTCTTTCCCTCCGACCCCCCAAAGCAAGCTGACTGGGAGAACCTCTTACTCCCTGGGTGCACTCTGATTTCCTGATGAAATATCGAAGCATAAAATATACTGTTAACTATTCTTGATATCTATAGGAACTAGTCTGAATAAAATATTACACTTCTGTTTCTGTAATTATCTGTTCAATTGTGATTGACATTCTCTCTCAATTGACTCCATATAACTTTTCATCAGGGACTTGGTTCTTAATGCTTTCACCACTTCCTTAGTCCTTAGTAGTCTGCTGGAGAATTTGTATGACAGCTTATTTTCACCACCAAAGGCAGGATTTCATCAAAGGTGGGGGTGGGGGGGAGGGCAGGTAGAGCACGATAGTTAGGAATTCAGGCTCTGGTTTAGAGTCAGACCTGGGTTCAAATGTCACTCTACCACCTTGGGCAAATTATTTAACTTCTCTAAGCCTCAGTTTCCTTACCTGCAAAGTGGAGATAATAGTATTTACCTTAGGGTTGGTTGTGAGTATTAAATAAAATTATGATGTAAAATCCTTAACATTTCCTGGAACATTTTAAACATCTTGTAAATTTTATTTATTATAAGGATCAATGAGTGTAGGTAAAAGGAGCTGACAAAGGGGAGGGATGCTAAAAGGCAATTCTTATTTAATCTATGATGGACCCTATTTACCTTCAAATATGAGTGAACCAATAAAAATTTTGCTTGGAGGTGTTGCAAAGGAATGGACTACAAATACTGCCAGTCCGATTTGTTTAGCGATTACTATGGCCAGGGAATGGAACAATGACTGAGGCATGACACCTACCTTCAAGAGTCTTAAGAGTCTAGTTTCTCTTGAAGTAAAACTTGAGTAGCCTCTGTTAACCTCATAAGGATGTGGCAAAAAATAAACAGGTGAAATTCTGAAATAATGTGGGTCTCAGAGAATTAGAAAGAACCATAAGAAATCTGTCAGTCCTGTCTTCAGATGGGTGAAAATTTGGAAGGCTTTATAAGACGTAAAAAGTATCTCTGCTAGTAGAATATTATTCTGATTGTTTCAAATTGAGAAATGTCAGAGAAATACCACACATTTGTAAATATAATTTAAATAATTGTGTGATTGACTAAAAGGTATTTTCAGTTCACATGGTTATTTTCTAATTATTATAAGATACTGTTGTTCAAAGCCACTTAATCTCAACAAAAATGAAATACAAAAATAAATTATGGTACTTATACCACGTCATTATTTAAAATCAGGTTTTCGAATATTGAATAATGACATGGGAAATGCTTGATGATAAGTGAAAAAAAGCAGGCCTAGGTATAGTATGGTTCTAATTTTTTTTTTAAATAGAAAAAGTTTAGAGTATCTAAAGCTATAGTCATCAAAGCAGTATGGTATTGGCATAAAAAGACACATAGATCAATGGAACAGAATAGAGAGCCCAGAGATAAACCCACACATCTATGGTCAATTAATTTACAACAAAGAAACTAAGAATATATGTACAATTGGGAAAGAATGGTGTTGGAAACACTGAACAGCATTATGCAAAGAATGAAACCGGACCACAATATTGCGCCATGCACAAAAATCAACAAAATGGATTAGACTTGAATGTAAGACCTTAAACCACAAAACTCTAGAAGAAAACAGAGTAAGCTCCTTGGCATAGGTCTTGGCAATAGTTTTTTGCTGTTGTTTTGTTTTTTTAATTTAACACCAAAAAAAGGCAAAAAAACCAAAAAAAGCAAAAATAACAGTGGGACATCAAACTAAAAAGTTTCTATACTGCAAAGGAAACCTTCAACAAAGTGAAAAGGCATGGAATGGGAGGAAATTTGCAAATCATATATCCAATAAGGGATTAATATCTCAAATATATAAAGAACTCATACAGCTCAATAGGAAAAAAAAACCCCAAACAATCCAGTTAAAAAATGGGCAGAGGAAATGAACATTTCTCCAAAGATACACAACAGGTAAATGAAAAGGTGTTCAACATCACTCATTATTGGAGAAATGCAAATCAAAACCACAATGGGACATCTCACACATGTTAAATGACTGTTATCAAAAAGACAAGAAATAATAACAAGTGTAGGTGAGGATGTGGAGAAAAGGGAACCCTCATGCACTGTTGTTGGTACTGTAAATTGGTATAGGTACTATGGAAAATAGTATGGAGGTTCCTCAAAAAATTAAAAATAGAACTACCATATGATTCAGCAATACCGCTTCTGGGAATTTATCAGAAGGAAACAAAATCACTATCTCAAGATATCTGCACCCCCATGTTAATTCACACATTATTTACAGTAGTTAAGACATGGAAATAATATCCACTGATGAATGGATAAAGAAAATGTGACATATATGTACAAGGGAATATCATTCAGCCATAGAAAAGAAAGAAATCCTGCCATTTGCAACAACATGGATTGAGCTCGAGGGCATTATGCCAAGTGGAAAAAGTCAAAGAAAGACAAATACTGTGTGATCTCACTTACATGTGGAACCTAAAAAAAAGAAAAACTGAATCCGTAGATACATCTGGTGGTTTCCAGAGATGAGGGAGTGAATAGGTGGGGCGGTGGGGAGCGGGGGGAGGTTGGACAAAATGGATGAAAGTGGTCAAAAGGTACAAACTTCCAATTATAAGTCCTGGGAATGTAATGTACAGTATGGTGACTAAAAACAATACTGTATCGGGTATTTGGAAGTTGCTAAGAGAAAAAATTTCTCATCACAAGAAAAAAACTTGTAACTGATGGTGAATGTTAACGAACTTGTGATCACCATGTTGTACACCTACACCTAATGCAATGTTATATATCAATTATATCTCAATTTTAACAAATGTATAGAAGAAAACCAATAGTTAATCACTGATAAAACTATATGATGAAATTACAAGTATATTTATTTTCTTAAAACTTTGAATAAAATAAACATTTCAAAGACAATGGTTCAGACTCTTAAAATATTTAAAACACATGAGACCTGTGGTGATTAGGTTTCACTTTAACATAAGTCACATTAAAAACTTTTTAGTTTAGGTAAGCTACCACTAAACAAGTAATACAAGACAAACAGTAGTAACCGAAAAGGGGAAAACTTTCAATACTAATTTAACTCATTGTACTATATAAATTATCACATATCCCTGCCTGTAGGTCAATAACTTGGATTTTTTAATAACTTGCATAAATCTAATTCTGACATACCACTAAATCATACCTTGAGAATAGTTATAAACTTGAGAAGGATCAACTACTATGTCCACTGAGAATGAGTTGTGTGATTCCTGAGACTGTTTTTCCATCACCTGTACTGTATCACTGGATGAAGATGATGAAGATAATCCCAGTCTAACATATCTTCCTTTTTTACCACAGAGTGAGCAATCTACCGGTGTGGCACTAGGTCCCCGGGGCAGTTGAACTTCATCTCTGTTGTAGTTCCTAACAGCTCCACTGTGATGCACAGAACGTTCTCGTTGCCATATATAATGGGTTGGAGCAATGGCCATAACCTATAGTGAAAAGCTTTCTTTTAGAATTTTAATAAGTTTTTAAAATTTAGTAAAATTAAGTACAAAAATTATAACTCAAGAACAGCTATCTCTAAACTAGATCTAAAAATCTATGTTACTGATGTTGGAGGCAAAAAAGCATCTCCAGATAAGGCAGTATTACCTATAAAATGATATGTCATTTGGATCCTCAAGATAGTAATTGAGAAGGTATTTAAATTATTTCAAATAGGAAACAGGACTGAAGCAACCTTCCAGGTTTTTCCATTCAGAATATTCTAAGCTTGGGAAAGATAATAGTTAACGTAAAACAACACATAATTACTAACTTTGGAATGTACAGGGCTGAAAATAATGTTTTTAATCAAAGTTTCCCACTCTGTACGTTAGGTCAATATTAAAACATTTGCAATTATGGCAAGGGATATGGTAAGAACACAGATAATTTATTTAACCTCCCTGTTCCTGTTTCCTTACCTGTAACTTGGAGAGAATTAGTGTCTTTTAGAGGGTTGTCACAAGGATTAGATGACGAATTATTTATAAAGCACTTAAGATTTCCTACTACATGTCAGGCATTGTTGTCAAAAGTTTGTTAGATAAAAAATTGCCTTTCGAGTCAGTACAGACTTAGCTTCTTATCCTGGCACTTGCTAGCTATATGATACTGGGCAAGTTACTTAAACTTTGAGGCTCAATTTCTTTATATCTAAAATGGGGAAACTATATGCCTCACAGGATTGTTCTGAGGGTTAGATATGTGTAAAATCCTTATCACATAGTAAGCATTTGACAAATAATAGCCATTTAAGAAGTCAAGCTAGGGAAGTGTACCTACATGCTGACCTCATATCTAAAACTTCTAAGCAGAATATTAGAATGTTACTTCTAAGCAAAAATGTTTAGTTGCAGTTATTGGTGACCCAAAGTAAATGAGAATTGTAGAATTTAAGAGTTAGACAGTGCCTTGTTAATTGCCTAGATCAGTGATTTTCAAACTGTTTTAGGAACCCTAAGATTATTGGGGGTTCCTAGGAGGGGCTAAGGGAAGACAGAGCAGGCAGAACAGCTCAATTGGGGGGATTGTGTGTAAAATTTTGTTTGGAAAGAAAAAAGGCTTTTGCTGTTAAAAATGAAAACCATAAAATCCTCAGATTAAGAACAGTCCCCTCAGAAAATGAGGTTACTGTGGCCTTCCCCAAGATCATGGCATAAAGAATACTAGCTATGCTAATTTTTAAAAGTATATTTTAGGATGCATTTATTTTATAATCCACTTCTTAAATCCTTCAAAAGTTTTCAACCAAAGACATGTAATAAAGTTACATATCTTTAAAAATGCAGAAGTAAATAAAGGTATTAACTCTAACTATAAACATTATCTATAATAATAGAAAACTAGCTTCAGAGCTATCCAAGGTGAGAAAGTAGAATATCAGAACTTCTTATTCCTTCCATATTAATCTACTATTTTTTCCTCAACACTTCAATCTCTTTATTTACAATGTCTGGAATGTGCTTCCTTTGTTTAAGTATTACCTTTCCCTCAATGCCCTGCCTAAGTCCCACCTTTCTAAAAACTCTAGCTTTCAGATTTTCTTGTTTTATTGTTAATGCTACATTAGGACTTTTAACAAATAAATGTCTGGTACTCAAATATATTTTTATGCATGTAACCTATTCTACTGAAAACCCCGTGTGCAGGAATAGTCTCTCATACACCTTTCTATCAAATGCCCTCCATACAATATTAAGCAGCCATTAAATATTTCTTAATGATAGATAAAAATAAATAAAAATTAGAGCCCCCTGACATTATGAACCTACAACATGATTTTTATAGGGATCTTATAGCAGAGTCTAGTGAGGAGAGCAGAGGCTCAAAATAGGTTTGGTAAACTATTCTTTCTGCAATAAGCTAGGTATCACGGTCTCTCTACATACTAACCCAGTTAGAAAAATGCATGCGCACACTTATTTACTTTTTAATATATAATTTACATATATTTCACACACATAATTAGAATGTTATTGTGATAACAGTGAATTAAAAAAAGAAACTGTACCAGGATCAAGAGGATTTTGGTTTTAATTCTATTGGCTCTATGACCTTAGGCAAATTACTTAACTTTCTGGGCCATAAAGTATCTTTTGTATGTGAGAAAACAGGTCACTTACAGGCCTCAAATTCTATAATTTTATGAAAATGACTTCTCTGAAGCATTGGTTGAGTATTCGACCTAATAGAAATGTTATCCTAGTTTTTACTTTACCTTACTCTTATGTCATTTTTAGTGATTTTTGTGTGCGTGCCTTTGGTGGGTGTTTCTAAAATACAATATTGGGCTCTCTGTTTTTCTACCTATCTACTTCTCTGTAACCTCAAGAGTTAGCATAGTATAAGTCTTAATAGCACTGATTCTGGAGTCTGCCTGGGTTTGAATACTGGTGTGCTCCTTTACTAATTGTGTGATTAAAAATGCAGAAGTAAATAAAGGTATTAACTCTAACTATAAACATTATCTATAATAATAGAAAACTAGCTTCAGAGCTATCCAAGGTGAGAAAGTAGAATATCAGAACTTCTTATTCCTTCCATATTAATCTACTATTTTTTCCTCAACACTTCAATCTCTTTATTTACAATGTCTGGAATGTGCTTCCTTTGTTGGAGAAGTCAGTGAGCCTTTATGCTTTAGTTTCCTAGTCTGGGATTACCTAGTAGCTATTAGAATTGTGAGTTAATACATAATGCAGTACTTAGAACAGTGCCCAGTAAGTGCTCAAAAAATATTAACATTACTTTCACCTTGGGTCTCTTATCTACTCTATGAAGTTTTAAACATCACTTGTATGTGATGACTCATTTTACTCATACCTGTTGACCATTCACTTAAATACCCAATTATCACCTTAAATTCATATGTTCAATACCAAATTCCTTATTTTTCCAATAAACTAGTGTGCTTCTTTAGCCTTCCCTATTTCCAGTATGTAATCCATCACTCTTTCTGTTATGCAGATTTGAAACTGACAGCTCACTAACCCATATGCCCTACATCCAACTGGTCATCAAAAAATTATAATTATAATCTTGTAACATTAATTTTTCTTCGGCACTGTCATCTATAGCAGTAGGTTTACACCTTGCTTCCTGACCTAGAGCAAGTATAGCAGTTTAAAGCACTTTTCCTATATCATATATTAGGTCTCTTCTGTATACTGACATTGGATTATTTAGTTCAACACATTACATGTATCACATCACTGCTTTCTAGATTCCTAATCTGTAATCAAGTAGTAGCTGACAGAAATCAGCTATGACGATATTGCTCCCTCTAGGCCAGAGTATATAACAAGAATAAAGCTTCTTGATAAAATTTTACCCTTGATGATGCATAAAAGAACTGGAATATGAGTCTAATTCTTTCTTATTAATCTGTGAACCAATCTAGAAATTAAGCTATCACCAACCTAAATAAATTCCACCTCAGAGGAGCTGAAGTTCAAAAAGGTAAGCTCCTTGTAAGAAGATAAGATCAGAATAAGTAGGTTGAAATAGTCTTTATTCTTTTTTGGAGAAGCCCTACATACATTTTTTTTTTAATATCCTTGCAGAGAAATATTTATTGCAGCATTACTTATCATGATAAGAAGTGGTAAACATCAATGGGGCACTATTTAAGAATACCATAGTATATTCATTTAATGATTATCATTGTAACGAATAAAATTTTAGAAGAATTTAACACAAAAAATTTTTTAATGTGATATAATGTTAAGTTTAAAAAGCAAAATATAAAATTTTACATGTGGCTTATTTTTTAAAAGATAAAAACTTACGCAAAGAAAAATATATTGGTTGCCTTTGGGTAGTAAAAATACAGGTGGTTTTTCTTATATTATCCAATTTTTTAAAGAAAAATATGTATCACTTTTAGATTAGAAAAATCTTTAATAGATGTTATTATTAACTATAAAATGAGCCAACCAATAAAAAAAATTCAGAAAATATAATTAGAATCTACCATTAGAATGAAATATTTATACGCTTTGGGTTCAGATGCCTTTTCACTACAACACATTATCCAATGCCATCATTTCTCATGTTGTTGCCAAGTGCTTTTCTTTACAGAATCACTTACGATTAACATCTAACATAATATATAGTTCATTGAGATTCTAAAGAAGACATTCACTCTGGAGCTTATAAATACTTCCTTCCTTTGATTTGCTTGAGCCACATACATTTTTCAATTGAATCACCCCTCACCTCTTTCCAAAAAAAGGATTTGAAGCAGCTAACAAAAGAGCAAATGATTTTTTTTTTATGAAACTAGAGGATTTCCCAAAAGGGGAAATATAGCTAAAGAGGAAAAGCATACATGCCAGTAATAAAGAATCACAGAGTTAATGTGGTTAAGGATAAAACCTGGCTCTTAGTTTCTCTGCAGCAGTCAGGGTTAAAAAAAATAGAAGACAAATTATAAAATTCATATGGTCTCAAATGAGAGAATAAATTGACAGTGGTGAATAATATTTTTTTCTGAATTTAAATACCAGCTGGCCCTGCCACTTACTAACTGAATGACCACAGACAAATCACAACCTTTCCACTCTAGTTTCTTCATCTGTAAAATGGAGAGAATACTTATGCTATTTAATTCTTGAGATAAAATAACATAACAGATACAAATGCATTTTCTAAACTAATCAGTAATAGGGACTAGTTGTCAGAGAAAACATAACACTGGGAAGTCATGTGACATGAAGTCAAGTTCTGACTCTGACACTTAATTGATGAAAGATTTTGAGTAAATCTCAATCTTGTTGGTCCTCAGTTTCATTAGCTAAACAATAAGAATGCTTCAACCCTCACAGGCATTTTAGTGAGGATATATGAAAATATTTATAAATTTATAAAGTATAATGTAAATGTAGAGTATTATTATTGTAAATCAGTTTGTAGTTACTATCGCAACTTGGGTTTATTCGAGGAGATGAGACTAAAGAAATGGGTTGGCAGTACACCAATACCAGATTCTCAATAACAAATTCATAGAATACTTAACTAAATTTCTAAGCATGTCTTGCTTCTTTAATGCATCAAACTTCAGGGCAAGGATGATAATAATACTTCTTTATATTAAACCACCGCAACACTTAACTTGCTGTCTTACTCGCAGATTAGCTGTTGGATGACTACATAAGAAAACAGGATAAAATCTTACTAGGTAGTTGCCTTTCCTATACACCAACACAATTTAAGTAAGCTTATCTGCCAAGAGAGGGGTAGTGCTAAGTGATCTCAGTGAAGAATTGTTTTAAAGTTTCTTTTCTATTTCATGAATAAGCAGATATGAAAAAGAATTGGAAGCCTTATGTTCCCTTCATACTGTCAGTCAGCAGTATTTGCTGAGTGTCTACTATATGCTAGGTATTGTACTGGAAGTACAATAAAAAATAAACAAATAAAGATCCTGTCCTCTTAGAACTTATATTCAAGTAGGGGGAAATAGACATTAGCAAGATAAATAAGCATAATGGAGTATGTAATATGGTGGTTAAGTGCTATGAAGAAAACCAAGAAAAGGAATACAGAGTAATAGTGGGAGGTACTACTTGTTATTTTAACAGCTTTATTGAAATATAACTCAAATACCGTACAATTCACCCATTTAAAGTGCACAACTAAATGGCTTTTAGTATATTCAGAGTTGCACAACCATTATTACAATTTTAGATTATCGTCATTCCATAAAGAAAGCAGTCACACCCCATTCCTCCTTTCCTCAGCTCTTTGCAACCACTAATCTACTTTTTATGTCTTTGGATTTGTCTATTCTGAACAGTTCATATAAATGGAATCATACAATGTATGGTCCTTTATGACTGGCTTCTTTCACTTAGCATAACATTTTCATGTTTCATCCATGTTGTAGCATGTATAAGTACTTCATTCCTTTTAATTGTCAAGAAATATTTGTATGGATATATTTTATCTATTCATTAGTTGCTGGACATCGTTTTCCACTTTTTGACTATTATAAATAATGCTGCTGTGAACATTTATGTATAAGTTTTTTGTGGCTATAGTTTTCATTTCTTAACTATATAACTAGGAGTAGAATAGCTGGGTCATATGAAACTCTATGTTTAGCTTTTTGAGGAATTGTCAGGCTGTTTCCAAAGCAGCTACACCATTTTACATTCCCAACAGAATGAGGGTTTGAATTTCTCCACATTCTTGCCAACACTTACTATCTTTTATTGTAGTCATTCTAGTGGGTGCGAAGTGATATCTTCTTCTGGTTTTGATTTCGCATTTCTCTGACGGCTAATGATGTTGAGCATCTTTTCACGTGCTTTTTTGACTATTTGTATATCTTCTTTGGAGAAATGACTATTTAGATCTTTTGCACATTTTAAAATTGTGTTGTCTTTTTATTATTGAGTTGCAAGAGCTCTTTATATTCTAAATACAAGTCCCCTATCAGACAGACGATTTTGAAAAATTTTCTCCCGTTTTGTGAGTTGTCTTCACTTTCCTGATGGTATCCTTTGAAAGAAAGTTTTAAACTTTATGATGTCCACTTTATATTTTCTTTTGTTGCTTGTGCTTTTGTTATCATATCTAAGACCTAATCTAAGGTCATAAAGAGTTACCTCTATGTTTTCTTTATAGTTTTTAGTTCTTATATTTAAGTCTTTGACCCATTTTAAGTTAGGTTTTATATGTAATATAAATTAAGAGTCCAACTGCATTCTTTTTTATTAAAAATTACTAGGGTGACATTAATGCTGCTGTGAACATTTATGTATAAGCATTCAACAGTAAGTTGTATAGATATTGCATTGTGTTCACCACCCACAGTTAAATTTCCTTCCGTCACCAAATATTTGACCTCTTTTACCCCTACCTGCCACTCTCCCCTTCCCTCTGGTAACCACAAATCCACTGTCCGTGTCCATGAGTCTCTGTTTGTCATGTTTGTTTGTTGCTTTCAGTTTTATATCCCACATATGAGTGATATCATGTGGTTTTCAACTTTTTCTGTTGGACTTATTTCACTTTGCATGATTATTTCAAGATCCATCCATGTTGTCGCAAATTCCATCTTTTCATACGGCTGAATAATATTCCAGTCATCTATCATAGGACACTTCGGTTGCTTCTATACAACTGAATTCTTTTGCATGTGGATATCTAGTTGTTCCAGCACCATTTGTTGAAAAGACTATTGTTTCCCCCACTGAATTTCTTTGGTACCCTTGTCAAAATGCAATTGAACATATATATGAGGGTTTATTTCTAGACTCTTCTATATTATTCTATTGAGGGAGATACTACTTGATATAGGGTGGTATTACAAAAAAAAAAAAGGTTTCTCTGAGGTGACATTTAAACAGAGTCCTGAATGAAGTGAGAAAGTAAAACATACTAATATCTGGGGAGGGGAAAATGTTCCAGGTAATTGGATTGGCAAATACAAGACCTTGAAGTGGGAGAGCCCTTGGTGTGTCTGAGGAACAGCAAGGAGGCCAGTGTGGCTGGAGTGGAGTGAGCAAGGATGGGAGATGAAGTCAGAGGTGAGGAGAGTTGGCAGACCATGTAGAGCCATGATAAGGACTTTGTCTTTTGCTCTGTGTGAGATGGGAAGCCTCGAGGCTTTTGAGTATAGGACTTTTTAAAAGATTTAATCTGGCTTCTGTAGGAAGAATAAACTTTAGGGAAGAAGGATTATAAGACAATTTGGATGGGTATGGCAATAATTGGGGCAAGAGATGACAAAGCACCATTTAGAGGTGGAGTAGGTGAGAAATGGTAAGATGCTGGATTTTTTTTAAGATATGGATATGAGAAAAAGAAGTCTAGGGTGGCAGCTTTTTTGGTCTGAACAACTAGAAGGATGAAGTTACTATTTATTAATATGTGGAAGATTGCTGGAGGAGCAGGTTTGGAAATCTATGTGGAAGAACTAAAATTCAATTTTTGGCATAGTTTGTGGTATCTACTAAATAATAAAATATGAATAGGAAATTTGATATGCAAATCTGGATTTAGTGGAAAGATTTGCTAGTTCTAAGTGTTGAATCCTTGAGAGACAACTTTTCCGTAAATCCCGTTACACAACTGAGTTTACAGCTGCCTAAAACTTTTTAATCTTTTACACATACACCATTAAGTCACTCCATTCTCTAACTCTTTAGATAGTCTGGGCCAGCAACTGAGGTAATTCTATCTCCAACAGTATAAGTTAAAGTTATTGCAGTTAAAAAATGCTAGCCATTATATCTTGGGAGTAAGTAGGCAGTCTGCCATGAGGTGAGCATTGCCTCTTGCCTCTGGTGCACTCTCCTCCATGCTCTTAGCTGAGTGTCTCTTGGGGCTTGAAGCATTTACTCTGAAAAAATCAGAGTGTTCAAATAAGGAACTTGCTTGGACTATTACATCCAAGGATGGCAACAGGTGCACAAATTACCCATCTTGACATGGGGAGGTAGTAACAAAAAATAATATATGACTCTTTCAATGCCCTGTAATTGGAATGAGTCATTTAAATCCTATAATGAAGATCATTAAATTACGGTGGCCTTATACACCTAATTTTTATATTTTTCTACTGAATTTAATCTTGTAAGGATTTGGCCTGCTGTACAGTTTTCTAAGTTATCTCTGAACTTTGCATTTCCCCCACCATTCAACAATCCTAATTTAATGCACAAATGTGCATACTTGCTATATCTTTATAGCATTAATAAATATAATTTACACAATTAGTTCTGGGAAGAGTTTTGTGACACATCCCTGAAGTTCTCCATCAGGTTTGACACTAATCTGTTGTCTCTTTTGACCCATAGTCATTTGACTGGATATGACTTAATTTAATTATAGTATTATCTAGCTTACATTTACCAAACTTCTCTGAACTAGTACTGGCTTACAGTGATCACTGCCTTCTATTTAATTTCTACCCTAAAATTTTTCTTTAGTTTAAAATATTAACTTTCTTCTTTATTGAAAACCAGAATTTTAGATAAAATAACTAATCTTTTAATTTTAGTGTCTTTCTGCTTTATCTTAATAGAATCTGGCATCAAGGAAAATTGCTTTATGTATTCTATATGAAAAGAGGTATAGTTTTTAAACATTTACATTTATTTAAATTTTATACTATGCAATTCACATTTCAATCATGGGGACCTGAAATCTCATATACTTTAATTTAACGGAAATTATTATTCAATTCCAGTGATATTACTATAAGATATTTTGAAATATGCACATTACCCTTTTTCAAAATTAGTGATCTTTTAGACAAGAGAAACACATTAAAATAAAAATACTTATCTACAGAAGTAGACTGCTCTGGAAAACAGAAATGACAATTTTAAATTATTGTGGTATAAAATTAAAACATTAACATTGCAATACACAAGTTGTATTCATGGTAACCATAAAGGTTAATGGTCTACCCTTACATTGGAAGCACTTTAAAAAACAAGACAAGGTAAATTAAATAAACAGAAGACAGAGAACCCATAAAGAATTTAAAAATCTTACCTCCTCACAGCATCGCCTGCTTACAATAGCCCTATAGTCAATTCTATCCCAGAGTTGGTCCCTTAACTTTAAGAAATTAGGGAACAATTTTCTCCAGTTTTTCCCTAAAGCCCATGGAAAAATCTCGTATTTGGATTCTTCTTCATCTTCTTCAACTGTATTAGCCAGATACCTAACAAAAAAGACCAGCAACTCAAAAAAAAAAGAAATAGGTAAAGGACAGGAATGGGCAGTTTCCCCTCCCCCGCAAAATACAAATCACTTATAAACACATAAAATATGTTCAACCTTACTCATAATTAAAGAAATAATAGATCAAAAATAGAAATACAGTGAATTTTACCTTGTTGAGTTCTGAATATTTTTATTCCTATAGATCTTGAGCTTTGTTCTGGGATGCAGTTACTTGGAAACGGTCTGATCCTTTCAGGTCTTGCTTTTATGATTTGTTAGGTGGCTCTGGAGCAATGTTCAGTCTGGGGCTAATTACTCCTTACTACTGAGGCAAGACCTTCCTGAGTATTCTACTTAATATCCTGTGAATGATCAGTTTTTTCAGTTTGGCTGGTAGGAACAGATACTATTTCCAGGCCTAGGGGAACGTTAGTCACTATTCCTTCTAATCCTTTCTTATGGTCTTTCCCCACAATCAGGTAGTTTCCTTATACACAAACGGAGATCGGTATCTTGCCAAATACTTGAGCAGAATCAGGCATACACAGAAGCAGGAACACATATTCCATAATAAGAATAATCAATCAATCAAAACTGACACACATGGTAAAAATGACAAGAATATTAAGATAGTTGTAACTATTCCAGATGTTCAAAAAGATAAGTAGACACACTGAAAGTATACGTCTAGAGATGAAAACTATGTGAAAAATGACAAATACATTGAGTGGGATTAACGGCAGGTTAAATATTCCAGAAGAAAAGATTTGTGCATTGAAACATAACAGTATAAACTATCCAAAATGAAACATGCAGAGAAAAATAAACAAAAATAATGAACAGAGAATCAATGAGCTGTGAGAAAACTTCAAACAGTCTAATAAAGGTGAAAGTGGAGTCCCTAACAGGCAGTGGGTAAACAAACAAACAAAAATATTTGAAGAAATAAAAGAAATAAATGGATAAAAATTTTAAAAATTTGATAAAAACTATAAACTCACAAAAAAGCTCCTAGAACCCCAAAGCACCAACACACATCATAGTCAAATTGCTCAAAGCCAGTGATAAAGAGAAAATCTTAAAAGCAGTGAAAAATAGACATGTTAGATAACAGGAAAAGAGAGAAGGATGGAGCAGATTTCCTATTGGAAACAATGCAAGCTCCATAGATGACTTTCCAAGAAAAATGAGCAACTTATAATAAAAAAAACTTATAAGACACTTAACGCACCATGAGCAGAAGCAGACTCCAAAGTCTGAGGATACTGAAATCAACAGACAAACATCAAAGAAAAAGAGGTTTAAAAGCAGTCAGAAAAGAAGGCAAATGAGCCTAAGTAGAAGATTTGAGGTGCAAGAAGGAATAAATATGTGGGTAAATCAAAACAAAGTCTGAATGTATAAAACAATAATAATAATGTCTAACTTTTTTTTTGAGGGCATCATATAAAATTACAGAATTCTAAAACAAAAGAATATAATTTGAGGGAAGGGATGATTGGAGTTAAAATGCTTAAGGTTATTGTAATTAAAAATAACTAAGGTAATTGCTAAAAGAATAGCTATAGATCACATAATCTCCAAACAAGTAGAGAGAAAAAAAAAGTGTCAAAAAATAAAAATTAAAAAATCTCAACCAAAAAGAAGATAAAAATGGAGGAGAAAGAAGAAACAGAAAACATGGGACATATAGAAAGTATAAAACAAGATGGCGGAAAAAAAATCCAAATATATAAGTAATAATGGATTATTCTGTAATAAAATGAACTATCGTTACACATATCAATAGAAATGAACCTCAAATAAATGAATCATGATATTATAAAAAAAAGAAGGAAGTTACAGAAGAATAGTACACGTGAAAAACCAAATAATGTATTATTTAGAGGTATATACATAGAATTAAAAGCAAGAAAATGATGACCAATGGAAGGGAGAGGGTTCTAATTGGGAAAATGAACTGTGAGCTTCTAAGATTCTGGCAACGTTCTAGTCTAAAGGTGAGTCATGGCTGCATGAGTATTTGTTTTGTTTTCATTCTTTCACACATACATACATACACACTCCATATGTTCTTTTGTACATTATTTCACATTAAAAAATTTTAAGGGTACAGAAGTATACAGTACACTTCTATTCATGTAATATACACACTGGTTCATGTATAGCAAATTATTTCTAGACAGAAACATGTGAAACAGTTAATGTCCTTGAGAAGGCAGGAAGGTCTTGAGATAGAAAGAAGACTTACTTTTAATTATATACCCTCTTACCTACTTTTTAAAACCATGTGCATGTTCATATTTAGTTACATTAATATAAAATGAGCACCTACATATTACTTTATCCTCCTTTAAAATAATTGTACATATTTTAATATTACATTATAAAGCACCTCATTGTCAAATGTATTCAGTATGAGAGTCAAATCCTGTCCTCTGTGATATTATGTAATTTCTTATTTTTAGTATCCCTGATAGTTAACAAAAGGATAGGTAGAGCCGGAGATTGGTTCTTTACATGCTTGCTGACTAAGTGAAACATGGAAAATCTATAACGTACTATGGTACTGTTGTATCAGGACTACATCATGATTCTACTCTATATTAACAATTTTTCAGGTTCAATGTGATCAAATATCTGCATTGTATACATATAAATTCCCTTCTAATTTGAAATAGTTTAAGTTTTCTTGGAGGAGAGTTCATTATTTGTATAATAATTATGTTCATTCAAATAAAGAATTAAGAACTTTTTATATGTTAGCTATTGAAGGATGTAAAAAGGTAAGATACATGTTTCTTGCCCTTAAGGAGCCTAGAGACAAGTAGAAGAGGCAACTAAGAATGAAACAAGTAACTGTACAAGAGATACGGAAGAATGATAATTGAAGTTCAGTGTTATAAAAATATATGGAAAGGAAAACATGTGAGTTGGAACTATGGCTAACTGAGAAAATAAGAACTATCGAGTCAAGCTACACAAAAAGCATGATTAGATATAAAATGGAAATTCTAACATATTTTTAATATGAAGCTTATAATACAACGTGCGACGCAACCTTACAGACTACTACATAGTATAAGCTGTCACGATTGGTCATAACCCAAAAGTTAAACAAATCCAGTTTCAGGCATCTAGCAAGATTAAAACTAAGCTTCTTTTGGTTTGTCGTTAATGTTCAGGTGAGAAAAAAACTACAAAATAGGGTATCAACATACAAATATAATACGATATTAAGAGACATAAATAGTATTATAGCTTATTGGTCAATGGCTGAATTTTGCCATTGGCAAATCGCACCTGAATTTGTGTCCCAGCTCTGCTGCTTACTAACTTTTGTGATCTTGGAAAGTACTTAAGTCTTGATTTCTCTATCTGTGAAATGGGGATAATTAAAAAAATATATCTCAATTCTCTGGGTTTGAGAGACCACAGCTCTGTCTGTGGAGCATTATTCTTTCTCTAATAAACTTTTCTCTCTCTTAAAAAAAAATGTATCTCATAGAGAAGAGTGAATGAGCTTATAAAAAACGTTTTGTGGTGTCTTGCACATAATATTCAGTACTAGTTAATACTATTATATTCCCCCAATTCAGCAGCATCACCAAATTTTATATGGAGTTCATTTTTCCCTATGCATAGGGATATGTGTCCCCTGAATATGTGCAGAGATTGATTCCTTTGATTCTGAATTAAACAGACTTTGAGTAAAAATTTATTCTTCAATGCTAACAGTTGTGGTATTCAACTTAAATATTTTTACATGTAGTTCCCTTGTTTAGTACTTAAAATTACATTAATGCATTTCCAACTATAGCACTAGATCCAGGTACTGGGTAGAAAAGCTTTTGAAATTGAGATAGATAGTCTTAGTTCACATTGATTCTAGCAGAATTCTGACCTATGGATTGGAAAGCCGTATTATTAAAACCATTTAACAGATCACAAAGCTAGTAAAACTGTCTAATATAAAGTCAATGGAAGAATTGAAAAACAGAATACCTTGGTAAAAGTACAATATGTTAAGTAAAACAGTGAGTGGATATAAAAGGTATCAGATATGAATAACTCCTATGTTATAGTCATAAATCCACAATGAGTATATGTCTAGACCATTTTCCACAAGCTATTCAATGTAAAGGGGCAATCATGATAATTTTTACTATATAGTAATTGGAAATTTCAAAGAGAATATTCTGGCTTTTAAAAAAAATCTAAGTTCAAATGAGAAGAATTTGGGGTAATTTATATGGAGACTGAAAAATGTAAAAGGTATAATACAAACTCAAGTGGAATATTGAATAATAAATCAGGCATAAAGAAGGATAAAATCAGTTAAAAGAACATAAAAATATCCTATTAAAGTAAAAAACATATAGCTTTTATACAAGAAGGCCTATTAAGAGATATACATCAGGTTTTAAACAGCCTGTTTTAAATAAAGTATATACATTATTATAAATAACTATAACAAAAATCATTTAGTATAAAGCATACTTACAGAGCAATAAAGAAATTTATCCTGGTATGCTCATTTATAGTAAATTTAGCCCTCTTGAAATAAACAAAGGTCATAGCCAAAAGATACTAGAGAAAAAAGTTAAAAATTAATGTTAATGTTTTGCTTTCATAAGTAAAACTACTTTAAAAGTTACCTTTAAAATGAATAATAAGCTAAAATGATAAAGCATTATTTATCCTTATTAAAGAATTACCTATTTATTTGGGTCCTTATTTTTTGGTTTCCTGTAATCCATGTGAATAGTGAGAAATAGTTCTTGACCATTTATCATGATTAAAACTAGAATGAACTCCTAAATTTTATTGCCAATATTTTTTGAACCAAAAATCTAATTTTTTTCTATCTTAAATTTCAAACCTATAGAGAAGTTGAAATATAATAAAATGAATAACCATACATCTTTTACCTAGATTCACCAATTGTTAAAATGTTGTCACAATGGCTTGATATATGCATACATTAACAATATTTTTTCCCCCGAGATTTTTTCCCCAAGCCTTTTGAGATAGACATCCATATTCTTTTTAAAGTAATCTTTTAAAATAATGTCTAATCATAAATTAGAATGACATGGCTCTATTTCCACTGAAAATAGTATTTTAAATATATTATTAGAAAGACATTTCTAGCCTAGCATTAGGATGCTATGCCAGGTTCTGCCTGTTCAAATTAAAAACAAGTTGTAATATTCATGTTTTAGATTTCCTCTCATAAAATGCCTATTTTTCTCATCTTCACAGGATTGGCCACAAAGGAGAGTTCAAGTTTTTAATGTAATTTTTAGTAGAGGACTCTTGAAAGTGTTAAGAACAGTGCTCCTGGTATGTTACTTTATAAGCACTGCCCCCTGCTGTCCCACAACTTTAATTGCTGTAATGCACTTAAAAGTGTAAAGTTTAAAACTACACCACACGAACTAGATATTCGATATTAAGGCATTACTGTTAATTTTTAAACGTGTTAGTGACATTGTGATTATATTTTAAGATATCTCATCTTTTAGAGATATATCTTGAAATATTTATGGATAAAATGCTAGGATGTCTAGGATCTGCTTTTGGGGAGAGGGAGCAGAAAAAACAAGAATGGCCAATAATTGATTGTTGTGGCATGCTACAACATGGATGTTAGGCACATGGAGGATTTTCGTTCTAATCTTTCTACCCTAAGTTGTTTTTGGTTGAAATTTTCCAAAATTATATTTCCAAAATAAAAACGTCTCCAATTTTGTTATTTTAAATTTAAAATTAAAAACTTCACATCAGTATTAACTTAGTGGGTATTTAATTATAAGCTAGTCTTCCATTCATTCCCTTTTCTGTTGGTTGACACATTATTTTAAGTGTGATGTGAAGTCATGCTGAATTTTTGGAAATGACTACCTGATCTAAGATGGCATTTATGAAGACGAAACCATAACTGTTCAGTTAAATCTAAAGAGTATGGAAACATCATGGTCCCTCTTATATGAGTTAGCATCATGATTTTTTAAACATTGATTCCTAAATAAAGAACATGATAAGCTAATTTTACTCTACAAGATTATTGTGATTTATCTAAATTACCTACAAAATATTAAAACGTATAACAGACTGCTGTAGTGGAATGAATCTCAGAATATTCTTTCTCCATAGCCTAATAGAAGGTAATAAATTCTGATCAAAACATATAAAGTCCATACTGATTCTTGTTTTCAATCAAACAGATATAGCCTTAAGGTCATTTAAATCTGATCAATAATATTCTACAATTTCTCAAAATATAGAATCTATGGTATGTGCTAATTTCAAAAAAAAAAATTAATGTGTAAGAATTCCACTTTGAAGGAGTAATGCAGGCTAGTTCTTTTCCTAACCTTAATTAATAAGATAGAAAATTCTTATAAGGTTTCACTGAAGTTCTGATGGTCTAATAACATAATAATGCTGGTTAATGCTTATATTGTCACCAAATTTACCTTGTCTGCAATTTTACAGCAGCAGTCCATCCACAAGAAATCTTGAATTAAATCGTCATCTACAATAAAATACAACTATAACTTGTCTTTTAAAGATAAAATGTTTCTTTTTGAAGAATCAATTACTACATGAGATTACAAATGATGCTTAGAAATCAAATTCAAATGGTTGACCAGTGTTGTCCAAGGTGTAGTTTTCAGTTCGTAGGTTTGTTTACCATTGCAAACATTATACAACAAGCTACTGCTTTCTTCTTCTTCCCCATCTGACTTGCCTAGCTCGGACTGGAATGGTAAAAGTGGTTGATTTATTGAATACTACAAGAGCTCTTTGAGAAATAGTCTTGGGTATCTCTAAATTAGCTCTATTACTTTCCAAAATTAATCTTTAACAGGTAGAAATGGAATCTCATAAAAGAAAATTCAGTCTTTAAGCAATAATGACAATGAATACTGTTTTCTAAATAGGTTTTACTTTTTCTACTACTTTCTCTTTTTAAGTCCCAGGGTATTTTTAGTTTTGGATTCCTCTCTCTCCCTACTTATCTCTGTCCAATTATCTATTATCCAATACACATGAAAATGTCTACACAAATAAAATTCATAATTTATTATTGTCACAAAAGATCAACAAAGAAAATAGTTAAAAAAGAATAACATTCTAAAGGTCTACTATATGGTGACAGAAGGAAATTTAACTTTGGGTGGTGAACGCACAATGCAATTGTACATATGATGTATTATTGGATTGTACACTTGAAACCTATATAATTTTATTAATCAACATCAATTAAAAAAATAACATCCAAAAAGGTCAAAAACATTTATTTCAATTTTAAATGGCTAAAATATATAATAACCCCAAAACATGTGGGTAGTTGCAGAATATAATCTGAGAAAATCTGCTTTTCTCCATTTCCCCCTTTCAATTTAACAAAGCTTAACTTCTTTATATGAATTTTTGAATCCTAGAAATATTGTAGTCAAATATATGAAAAGCTCCAATAAGTACTAATTTTTTGAGAATTTCTTCTTTAATTCCATTTCTATTTCATAAATTATCTAAAATGATAGAGTTGAGTATTTTCACTTATTTCTCATGTTCAGTTATGAATAGTAAATTAGTTTGTGGGTAATAATTTTGCTCTACTCTTAATAGAGAGGGAAACCTGGATTAACAGCATTCTAGATCCTGAGAACATCCTCATAGTTCAATATTTTTCTCCTTATATTACTTATATTTTTTTATTTTATTTTTGCTTTTCCTTAAATGTTAACCAGTTTGCTGGTTTTTTTTTTTCTTTAAATTTCTGTCCTTTAAGGTCAAATACTCTTATCCCCAACTCTTGCCTCTGACTCACATCTGACTTTCTCTATTAATAAGAAAGCTTGTTACCTGGATTTACAGACTTGCCTTGATTCATTCCCATAGTTATTTACCAGAATCTGTCTATCCTACCCTTTATTCTAATCTACCTTACTATCTTTAAAAAAAAAAAAAAAAAAAAAAAAAAAAAATCCCTTTCTCTTTCTTGGCCAGTAGAAGTACTATAAAGAAGTTTCTTTTCAGTGATTTTTAAGAAATTTATCATCAAAGTAGCACTCACTGTCTCATGACCTGAACAAATTCAAATCCAATTTTATTATCTGAGTATGATGATAAAGCATAATTAATTTTAAACAATATTCCCCAGATATAATACTGAGACTTCTCGAGGTCGACTAAACTTCCCAGTTTGATCAGTTTTAGCACCGAAAGTCTTAGGAAACCCCTCGAACTAGGTCAGTTGGCTCAGCTAAGATTTTTACATAGTATTTTATTTTAGGTCAAAGAAAATTCATGCTATGAACTTGAACTGCTCAGAATTTACATTTGATACTTGGATTTAAGTAGTCTAGAAGTGAGATGAGTCTGAATTTCTAATCTAAAAGAAATATAAATAAAACCTAACATTAAAGACTAACAAATTTGATTTAAGAAATTTTACAGAAAATAACAGCATCCTCTGATTATTATGAAAATGATAAAATCTTTAGATTCTCATTTTGAAGTACTTTCTAATGATCACTATTACAATATTTTAAACTTACCAAATAATTTAAAGAAAGCAGTCATTTCCTGACGCTGTATAACTAGGCAGGGTCCTTTGGGGCGTTTAGACTTGTTGCTATTATGTGCATTTTTTTCAGATGCTGGCCAACTATCTTTAAAAATTGGACGCTTCAGATTAATGGGTTTTTTAGGCTGATGTGATCTACTTGACCCTGATTTTACATGAACAGTGACAGTAGGTGGTGTCTCACAACACAGCTGATTATGCCTCATTTTGGTTTCCCAAGATTCCTGTAAAAATAAAACACAATTACTTACTCATTTCTATATAAAAACAACTAATTGGATGACACCACCAGATGCAGGCATATGAAATGTTACTGAACTTGCTACTAAAATGTTATTTGTGACAGTGACTCACATGAAAAAATGTTTTTAGAATTCATTGCCTAGAAATGCTATGCTTTCTTTGGGTAACTAATATACCTCCTCTTCCTAAGAAATAAGATCCTGTATTCCACTTTACTTTGACTGCTAAAAACTAAAAACTAAAAACCAAATTTGAAAGTTAATTATAGGAACTATGATGACCTTATAATCTATTTGTGGTATTCTTTTTTCCTGATAATTTTTTATTTTGCTTGTATTGATATAATTTTATCATATGGTTGTTATATACCACCTCAAATTTTTTACAGAACAAAGCAAATGATTTTCAGAACTTAATTATGACCAATATTGAGTAGTATATTAAAAAGCAACCCACACACAAAACATATCTTCTTACTAGTAACTTCTTTGATGTTATAAAATTCACTTACTCAAAGCATCTACTGGTATTTGTTGGAAAGTTAAAAACAATTCTTGCAAAGAGATATAGTATATGTACTTTGAGGGATCCTCGTAAATTGATCACTCTAATATTTAAAGTTAATGTGAGTACATGACCATGCTATTTGAGTGGCTGATTATAAGTATACATGAATGCACAGTGGTATAATATAAAACAAATCTGAAACAAAGTTAATCTAACATCAATATTTAACAATATGCATAATCACTACCATGTTTGGTGGTATTTAGTTCATATAATTACTAGTTAGTATTAGTTTCATGGTCAAAGTGTTTATAGGATAATAAGAAATGGAGGTATAAACAGACAAAGCAGGAAACTACTCTAAGACCCTAATTAGAACCTCTGAATCCATAACTCACAGTGACCCAAGCAGCCATGCCTCCCTTGGTGTTCAAGGAGTTAGGTACAGATTCTCCTTCCTGACCCTCAGAAACTTCCCTGCTGAAGGAAGGAATGGAAAATAAGATTGGATTTAGTGGAGCTAGATCAGCGCTTTCCAATATGTGAGCCATATATGTAATATTTTTAAGGCCACATTTAAAAAGTACAAATAAACAAGTGAATTCAACAATATTTTATGTAACCTAATATATCCAAAATATTTTAACATGTAATCAATATAAAAACTGATATATTTTACATCTTTTTTTTCATTCTAACTCTGAAAATATGGTGTATTTACACTTACAGTATATCTCAATTCAGACACTAAATTTCCAACAGTTAAAGTGAAATGCAGTCCTACTAAAACAATGAAGTAGTGTGCAGGGAAAAAATATTTCACACTCCAGTATTTGATTTTGAATTAAAATAAAAATTCAATTCCTGTAAAATCTAGCCACATTTCAAGTGCTCAATAGCCACATGTGGCTAGTGGCTACCATGTTAGACAGTATAGGGCTAGATTATGAAGAACTAGGCAGAGGAAATTATATTCAATTGATTCTATAATTCCTTCTCCTCCCTCTATTTTGCTTCCCTCTTCTCCCTCCATCTTTCTTCCTACATCATAAGGTCCAATCAAATTGAAGGCAATTATGGAGGTAGGGGTGCTACAAACTCCATAGAAAGAAGAATGGGTAAGAAATTGAGCCTTGAGATTTGCGTAAGAATTTTCTGCTCTTTTCTACCCACCTCAGCTGTCCAGAGACAGCTGGAGGCCTCATCTGCATTTTTTTTTTTTTTTTGAAGTTTAAGAGCAGCCTTACAATCTAGATGAAAAAAAACTAAGTAGGGTTCTCAAATTGGTGTGTACGGACTAGGATCAGGGTTGGAATGTGCCAGAATATAGAATAACTTGTGGCATATCTTCCAGGAGGTATTATTCAATGTTAAGTAACTTAAAATAGTGTTGTCATATTAAAACAACCATGGATATATCATGCAATAAATTTTCTATCAATCCAAAAGATAAGTATCATGTTCATAGCTTTACACTATTCCACTAAAACCCTGATGGATGTGTTGTGATACTTCATATAAAATTTGAGACAACAGAAAGAGAAGGAAATGTCTGAAATTCTCCAAACAGAGACTCATTGAGGTTAACAAGCAAACATTGGCAGGAAAGTTATGGAGAAGGCACTTAGGGAGAGCAGTTATCATTACTACATTCTTCGTCCAATTCCACCTTGAGGTAGCTTTTCATTTTGTCCAATTAGATATACTAAGAAAATAAAAGTTCTGATAAACAAGCAAGAGGAAAAGAATAAAAGACATTAAGATATGGGCCATTTCAGGGAAGGGCAAGAGGGAACTAGGAGAGGGAACTAGGAGAAACTGCTCATATGGCAAAATCCTTTAATGAGTTTTTACATGAACTCTACCAACATGAAAAAAGTCATACCAGAATTCATACTTGAATGCCTGAGTTTTTTTTTTGTAAATAGACAACAGCTAATTGATAGGCATCTGAAATAATTTCTTCTCTCTGAGGATAATATAAAGAGTGAGGGGGTGGTGGTTCACAGAATCACAGTAGTTTGGGGATTCATCTGCCTATATGAAAAAAAATCTAATATCCATTGGCAATTCAGGGCAGGCACGTAAGCCTTAACCGCAGCCTTACATTGAGCACTTAACATTCGCCAGACATTATATGCTGAAAGCTTTACATGAATTATCTCATGTAATTCTTATAACATCTCTATAAAGTGGGTATTATTTTATCCTTATTTTCTAGATGAGAAGTTTGAGGCTTACAGAAGTTGAGAAATTTGCCCATGGCCATATTAATTGAGTGATAAAGCTAGGACTTGAATCCAGGACTGTCCGATACCAAAGCCCCATATTCTTTAACCACTAAATAACTGTTTTAAAGATTAGATGAAATCATGTGTAAAACACTTGACACATAGTAAGAAGTTTAATATTACTTATTGTCACCTTGCCCAGTAGAACATAAACCCAGCTATAAGCTTACACTTTATAAAAATTTAATTCTAGCATTTGCAGTATAAATGTTCACAATAAATTATGACTTAGTAGTTAAATAAGCCACTGCTGTGGGGAAAAAATATGGGCTTATTATATTTTTGCCAAAATAACTCTTAAAAAAGAATCATTGAAATGACTATAACATTTTTCTGTATCATAACCACAGAATTGAATTATTAAAAAATAGAGCAAATTTAAGAAAAATATTTTGGCAAAATTGCTGGATGTTTTGCTGGGGCTACTATCAAATTTCCACAATTGTGATGCTCAAAATTTTTTCCTAATTTAATCATCTAATGGTTAAAGAACACTTTTAGCCTCGACAAAGTACTAGAGTGTTTGTAAAACTATATGGCATAATTGTTTCAATAAGTTCAAATCTGATTAGAAATCCAACCTATTAGTGAATAAAACAATACACTCCAATGAAGTGGTGACAATAAATGGAAACTAGATTGAACAAAATTAAAGGAGTGATGTGCTAGAAAATGATGCGCAGGAGGTGTGAACATGCTCCCCTCCCCCCCTTTTAAATGTGGCAATTAGAAAGAAGAAAATGACCAGCATCTAGAAGAGACAATAGTTAAATGAGGATTTTTTTTTTTTTTTTTTAAGACAGGATTCTTAAATGCATCTGACCGCATAAGGGCAGAGCTAGTTGAGAATATATGTTAAAATACTGAAGAACAGACCTGGATTAAGACGATGCTGTCTCACTACCTTTGTGATCTTAGGCTATTTAACTTCTGGGACCCGCAATTCCTCACTTAACGTATGATGTGAAATAATAACAGCAACTATGTTTTTTTAGAACCTAGTATATAGTAAGTATTCAGTAAAATTACCTATTATTAGGCGTTGTTAATAATACATATTTTGTAGGGTTGATGAGGAAAGGAACATGCGCATGGATAATGCCTAGCACAGTGCTGAATGCTTAGCAAATACTCAATACAGAGCAGGACTATTATTATCTTTTTTACAAGAAGAGTGTCTTTCAAGGAAAGAAGAGTTGGACTATGGAAGCCAAATTTCAACTAATAAATATAACTTAAATGTTAAAAAAATCATTGGTAGCAACATTATAGGTATTTAAAAATGTGCTTAAGTTAGAGAATAAAATTTGTAAATAGGAACAATTTTAACACAGCATAGGTTTAATCAGTCTTTCAATGTTAAATTACTTCATGAGTTGTTTTGTTTTTTAATCGAAGCTAGTTGGCTTCTAGTGGCACTGAAAATGCAAGAAAAGGATTCTGTAAGTTTTGAGAAATGAACTAAAGGCGTAGCACTGAGACACAGCAGCTCAGATCTCAAGATTCTGGTGCAGACGCTCCTGGGAAAAAAAGATGCGTTTAATGCGACACAAGTAAAAAGAGGCAGGACTTAATCAAAATACCACGCCCCCCACCCCAAAACAATAAAGGCCGGTGGGCAGGCTCTTAGGCTCTTTCATCAAGCCCTGTCTTCCCGGCAGGCAGGTGGGCGACCCGGAGCCCGCGGAACTAGAACTCACCCAGGCCGTCAGAGGGAGGCCGCGGCAGGACCCTCGGGGAACGGGAACGAGTCTCCTCTCCTTTGTCCCCTTCCCTCCCAAGCCTGCCAGCCAGCACGACCCGAGAGCAAAGAAACAGTGAAACGCCCACAACCCGACCACGGCAGGTGCCGCCCCTGGTTCTCCGTTCTTTGCGAGCAGGACCCGCTCCTCGCCGTCTTTCCTCGGCCCTACAGCGGCAAGCCGCCTGGTGTCCGACCTCCATGCCTCCTGCCCCCGTCCGTCTCCCAAGTCCAGGCGGAAGGAGCTAGAAGGGTGTGTTCTCGTCGCCGAGAAACCACCTGAGGGGGCTCATGGGCGAAGTGTGTGGGGAGGCAGCTGAGACGCCGCCACATCCTCACACACGGAGGGCGGCGGGGTTGGGTGTGAGGGAATGCAGGGAGCAGGCGCAACCGAGACGAGTCGCTGCCGAGGCCCGAAGCCGGGGCGCAGGAGGAAAGTACCTGCGAAAACCTAGGGCTGGGAGAGGGGCCGGGCGGCGCTCAGCCTCCCCTGGACGATCCCGGGCCTCAGACGGTTGCTCGCAAGTCGCTCCACCCAAGCACGACCCGCTCGGAAACCTCCCGCCAATCGGGAGCGAGGCCAGCACGAGCCAATCGGCGCACAGAACCGCCAGCCGAGGGCGGAGCCGGCCCGACGCTACGCTGGCCACGCCCAGAGCCACGGTTGCCAGACAACTTTCTACCGTTATCCTGCCTCGCTTACCTTCTGGGAAAATAAAAAGAAAAAAAAAAGGGCCCGTCCAGATCTCCTGCCTCCTAATTTAATCCCTTTCCCTTGGACACTTATCAAAGTCAGACTTGTAGTAGAGCCATTGATCTTCCCTTCAGCAAGACAGGCCCTGCTATATTAAAATAATTATATGAACAGAGGAAGGGACCAAACTAAAAAATGTGATTATCATGGCTCTGTGAGAAAGGGTAGTTTTCCATTCTGCTAGATCTGTTCTAAACTGTAAATTATTTCACAATAAACTTTTCTTTCTGGCTTCATCCTAACCCTTGGCCTGGAATGTAGTAGGTGCTTAATGTTTGTTGAATGAATAAATAAAAAGGTTTTTCAGGTTTTTTTTTTTCCATGACATCTTTTCCTCCTCCCTTCTACCTAATGTATAACCTGCTTTTCCCCAGTTAAAGATGGCCTTTTTTCATTTTGCTATTCTAAATATTTTTAATGACTGCATAATACTCAAGTAGATGGACCTAAAACAATATCTCAACTTCACTTTTGCAGAAATGAAGAGCATAATGACAAAACTTTAGGTGTATACTTATAAAAAATTAGTTTGTCTTATTTAACTATTGTTCATTTTGCAAAGTATGCTGTCACTTTAAAATCCTTTTAACCACTTTTTAGCTGTTTAATTATAAAACACTGAAATCTACTAGCAAAAAGGGACATAGTATTTCTAAGTGGATGCCAGTGGTATAGACAGGCTATTATTACGTGTCTTCTCAGGCAAAGTTTTGATTCAGGAATGGATCTACCAGGAAGAGAGGAGTAATTGGATCATGTCAGTGTAGCGAGAGCAGAGTAAAAGCTTGACCATTTTACTTTTCTAAACACATTTTTTTAGCATAGAGATATGAAACAAAAAGACTTTTAATTTGAAAGTTACGGTTGCCAAGGAACCAAAGGAATGTACCTGAACTTATAAATGGAGATATATTTCAGTTCCTTGGCTCAATGACACTTTTATATTAAGGGACACGTCTCCAGATGTTCCTGGGTTTCCCTCAGATGAACTTTTAAAAAAAAACATATTTATCTCCTCTGAACACTTCCAATTATTAGCCACCATTTAAGCCTTAAAATTCTTCTTCCTGGTATTTGACTCCACATTTTGCAGAAACCAATCTTACCGATCATGATTAAAATTTGTCCCTGCACAAAATTAAAATGATTGTTAATGCTTCAAATGCAAGGGTTCCACTGTAATTCTTTCAAAGAACAATGTGCCAAGGCATCAAAAAGTTGACCCAAATAATCGATGTGTTCCATCACATTATCAGTTATCTAATGTTTAATGAGTTTGAATTAAAGATAAATTTGAATATAGAAAATTAGTAAAAAGCAAAGAGGAAGAATATAAATTAGTGACACTAGAATTACAGTGTATTTTTCTCCTAAGAAATGAAGTTTTATTTAACTAGCAGTGCTACTAAGTAAATATTTTTAATGAATACATTACATGAATAGAAGCTGTTAAAGTGATTTTAAGACTGCTTAAATAATTTTTAATCATGCTAAATTTCCATCCTTTAAAATTTAATGACCAGTATTAATTAGTGACTATTTTTTCACAATTGGTATTGGCCTGTATAAATTACAAAAACCTAGTAAGTAGGATCTAAACGTATTAATACTGAGATTAATAAAAAAAAACTGCCCTGTTCCCTGCCAAAGACTTATTTTCTAGACCCGCTTCACTGTGACTACTAAGGATACATCTAAAATTCTATCAGAAATTGCTTGACTTACACTCCAATTAGGAAAATATTTAAATCATTATATAAAAGCCTGTGTGACCTAACTTAATACATCATATGCAGTACATGAACACCTTCAAAAAAAGATCAAATCAATATACATCAAAAACATTAAACTCTATTGGAATAAAATGTGTTTAAATGTCTTATTGTAAAGAAAAAAAAAGGGCAGAAAATAACCAGTCAGGCTTCATATCAATTAGACAACTTTTACTAAATGAGAAAACTACATTTAAAATGTGCTTTAAAACAAAATGGAATTAGAAAAAAAAGACATACGCATTTGAAAGAACTTTGCACTGTGCTGAAAATCAAATTTCTTGCAGTAATACAATACACCAATTCATAAAATGTAAGTTAACAGAATTTTCAATTTAACATTTTCAAAGACAATATTAAGGTCAAGAATTTCACATCTATGGTAGCACATATAGAAGGGCATTATAAATATGATGTCCATCCCTAAGAAGCTTACAAATTTGACAATGCTCAATAAAAGCTTTTAGAATCACATCCAAAAGTATCGCATCCAAAAATCACAAGTATGTGTCCTCTAAGTTCTCCTTATAAAATCTTTATGTTCACTTTTCTACTCTTGCCATTTGTTAATGCTAACCCTTAAAAAAAAAAGAGAACAGGAAAAGAAATGCTGCAATAAACCCTTAATCATGTACAGAAATTATTGCTACTATAGTTCACTACAAAGCATGTCTATACAATATCATATGAACTTTGATCATGAAAAATCAGAATAAAAATCTTTAGTGACATAAGCCTTACAATCGTATACAACATTCACATGGCAATATTAGACAGTTAAGCACCCAATACCCATAGTTGACAAAATGTCCCACTGACCAGCATTCATTTAAATACATCCTTTGTAGAGGGAGGAAAAAAGAGATAGTGTCAGCTTTCCAAGGCTTGTCAAAAAAGGATTCTCATGTTTTGTGGATCTAAAAACAAAAAAAAAACAACAAAAACCCAAAAAACAAAACCGATGCAGGTGAGGGTGTTACCAGAAAGTTAAGCATGCCAAAAGGTGTTTCGTGCGAATTAAAACCTAAAGCCAAGGTACCACGTAATCACATTACCAACTATTGGGTAATACTATAAGCCTTATCTTAAAGTTAAATGAAATGCTACTGCACAATAGAGCATCAATAAGTTAAAAATTAGAGAGCACAAATCCAAATCAGTGGCAATTTCTGTATAAAGCAAAATACTCACTATCAACTATAGTCTTCCCAAACTGTTTAATTAAATCACTGGATTGGACAGTTTGCGTATTTTTAAAAATATCAAATCTCTAAAATTCCTTTTCACGGTTATGAGGCATGTTTTCTTAGTAAGATCAAACAGGTACATAAGTAATTAAGAAAAAAGTAATAGTTGGTGAATGTCTTTAAAGCTCGTCCCACATTTCACTTTTTAAAATGTTTAGGGAAAAAGTTTAAAATATCTGCCGTCATTCTAGCAAAAACAAACAAAACAAAACAAGCCCAAAATAATTAAACAACCAAGCAACACTAAAACCACATTACACAGATGGATCATCATGCTTTCATCTGGTTTAACTATCACATCTAGTTTAATTGGGATGCTTTTCAACTTTAAAAACTGTGATAAGTGAAGATGTAACTTTAATGGGTAATTTTGAATTTGGATTTAACTTTGTTGAATAACAGAGTATACTTATTACAATACAGTGTAGCACATCTTTCTATTAGAAAAAAAATTTAAGATCCTTTACCCGTCTCCTTAAGTTAAAGGTGTGACATCATAAAGGGTGTCAAATGGCTGGATGGTTTTACAGTGCACACTTATATATTATGAAGTATGTCCTTAACAAATCTGATGGTTTCTTTACAGTTCCTTTCTTCACCTTTTCTTCGGTGGATTAGCTGTTCGAGGTGGAGTGACAGGACGTCCTGAATTCAGTCCACCATACTGGTACTTAGCTTTCTTTTCAGATGGTTTCAGTATCTTAAAGTAAACAATTTAACAATGTTATTCCTTCAACTACAGTAAGTTTAAGAATATTATTGTTACAATAGTGGGTTTTTCAATAAATGGCATAAACTGTAAAAGTGCAAGAATGTAGAAAAACAGCAAAAGTTGCACATTCTTCACATTTAAAGTGTACAAATGTCTAAATATCTGAACACTATTATTCGTCATTCCATTAACTTAGTAACAAAAGCTCAAGTACACAAATCCTATCAACTACCCAATCCTTAGATTTAAGCAAAAATTTTTTCAAATTTGTGTACTGCTATGGTGAGAAAAAAACCCTAGCTTTTAAGATTCTAAACACCCAGGTTCTCATAATTCTGCCACTATTTAGAGGGTAACTAGTCAAAAACTGTTCAGAGCTTAATTTTTTCTGTAAACAGACCTATTTATTTAAAAAATAACTTTATTTATATACATTACATATTATAAAGTCACCCATTTAAATGTACAACTCAATGATTAGTATATTTATACAGGGTTGTACAACCACTACTATAATCTAATTTTAGAACATTTTTGTCACCCCAAAAAAACCCTTGTTCCCATAAGCAATCACTCTCCATTTCTACTCTCCAACCCCCTTCAACTCTAAGCAACCATTATTAATCTACTTTCTTTCTCTATTGATTTGTCTTTTCTGGCTATTTCATATAAATTAAACCATATAATATGTGGATTTTGTTACTGGCTTCTTTGATTGAGATAATTAATATTTTTGAGGTTCACTTTCAGCTGCCAAACAATATGCCATTTAATGGATATTCCACAATTTGTTTATTCGTTTTTCAGTTGATGGACATTTGGGATGTTTCTACCTTTTGCCTTTTATAAATAATGTTCCTCTGAATATATATACACACACACATATATATATGTACATATATACACACACACATATAACTGGGTGTGTGTGTGTGTGTGTGTGTGTGTGTGTGTGTGTGTGTACTGGGGATCTATTTTTAACTCTTTTGGGTATATATCAAGGATTGGAATTGCTGGGTCATACAGAAACTCTATGTTTAACTATCTTCCAAGTGGCTGTACCATTTTACATTTCCATCATCAATTTACATTCCATTAGAGATGTATGAAAGTTATAGTTTCTCCATATCCGCACCCATTCTTGTTACTTTTTAAAATTATACTTATTCTGGTGGGTGTGAATAGTGCTTTAACCTAATTATAGATAGAATATTTCAATATTTACACAAAAAAATGCTTAGAAAAGATTTATGAAGCATTTCTTAGAACTATTCAGAGCATCAAAGTGCCTCAGTGAAAAAAAACATATCAATTAAACTCCACTATGGCAACCGTTGAAGTTTAAGGCCTGGTTACTACCCTTAAATTGTAAATGAGAAATTGAACATATACCACTCAATTATACTAGTAGATAAAAAAAATAGTATAATGTAATAAAGAGGGATGGGAAAACCTTTCTACATTTAAAAAGAGACTGTGTGCATATCATGGATATAAAACAAGCTTTGCAAAAACAAAGTATCGAAGTTGTTTTGGTCTGTGAACGAGAAAGATTTTAAGTAGCACACTAAAAATTCTTCTGATAATAGTTTTAATTAGATTTCAAATTGTTATAAATTCATTTTATAGTATACCTGAAATGAACACATCAAAGTTTCATCCACACTCATCATTCCACCAGCATTATCAAATTCGCCACAGTAATTTGGGGCTGAAAATAGGGTTACCAATTGTCTTTTAGCAAAAAATTCATATCCATCTTCCACCACCTGTCAAAGGAAATGTCAAATATTTATAGGTAATTCTCATTGAGATTAATAGGACAAAGACCTAAAAAGAACTCATCTTGTTTTGATTATTCTTAAACTTGCCTTAGAATATTAAAATTGATGTCTTTTCTAAAATTGCAAGGATTTAGCTTAAATAATAATAAATTTATGATTATTAAAAAGTTTTAAAATGGTGCCATTTCCAAGGCTCTCCATATAGTGTCTATGGAGAGCTGGGACACCAAGTACTTCTTAAATGATGCCATTACAATCCAACTATAGAATCCTTAATTCAATGAATAACCAGACAATGAAAGAGATTATAGCAAGGACGTTTTTCTTAATCCATCTAAAAATTTTGTATTAGTATTATGTTGTTATACTTTGAAAACTCTACTAAATTGAGCTTAATTTACACATATCAGGCTCCAAAATATTAGCTGCCTAAATATTAAATTTTTATATATATAATTCTTTAACTTAATGATTTAACATGACTTCCAGAATCTATCATCAATTCCCGAGTTAAAAAATTTATTGTTCCTTAGCTCTAAAATTTGAGAGGTAGGCAATGACACATGAACTTTTGTATTTATAGTAGGCAAGAATACTTTTTGAAGTCTTTTAGGTATCCTTTGATTAAGCAAAAATTATCCAACAGTACTTGCTAATACAAGAAGAAAGCACCTCCAAAACCATGTATATTTTTTAATAAGTCCTACCTTAGTATCAGGTACACACTCCTTTTCTAAGAATTTAGATGTTAGAATTCAGATATTAACCTTTTCTGTTAAGATCTTGGCCACCTTGATCTACTCCAGGCTTAGCATGGTATTTGGCACTAAGTACATCCTTTTAGTTCTTAGTTTCCTTGTTTACTTGTTTCATTTGTTCAGACATTTACTGAAAAAAAAACAGGCTTTTTCTATATGAAAAATATGGAGTTTGTGTTTTTCTCATCATGTCTCTTAATTTTAGAGATAGTTTGTGTTGTGTATTGGTTTGATATTTCAAATCCACTTGCTTATAACAAAAACCAAGTTGTTTTTAAGAGTAAAGTTTTGAGATAAGAGTGAACTACGTTGTGTCAAGATATCATGATCTCATCTGTTGTCACTGATAATGCACTCAGTAGCTCAGCTGCTGAGGGGCGCTGCTGGGGGCTTATCAAATAAAATACATGGAAAAGTACCTACTGCAAGGGGACATTTAAACTATAAATACCTCGTTTGTGAGGACCATCCGCTGAGCATGGAGAGTCTTTGCTGACTTCAATA